TCGGACCTTTCTGGCTGTCTGCATGGTCGCCTGCATGGTCGTCTGGATGGTCTGCCCGGCAGTGGAGGATTTCTGGCTGAATCACCTCGGTGGCGGGCTCCTCCTGACAGCAGCTCGGGTTCGATCCCATTGCTTCTTGATCTTGAAACAGAGGGCTACTGCACGGCATGAGCCAGGTGATCATGAAAACCGAATGACAAGCACACAATGCAAGCAGACTAGGTGAGTCTCCGATGTGACAATCCCCCATGCAGTGCACCATCGTGCTTTCTTTCGTTTGCTTCGCATACTTCACAACTCCCCCACCAGCTCAGGCTGCGGCTCTCTGATCCATATGCTTCTCCAGAGTCTCAAGAGCCTGCGAAGCTCGAGGCACGAAACCCCCCATCACAAAACGCCCTCCCCTCAACCTGCTCGAGCTGCGAGGGGGGGCTGGCGAGCTCCATCTCACCCCAATCAAGCCAGGAGTCCACCTTTCCGGTGGCTTCGACTTCAGACCTCTTTATATCCGGCTGAAACTCAAACCACGCAGCTGAAACCAGCTGCCTCAGCAGACTCAAAGAAGGTGCTGCCGTAAACCTGTACGGGAAGCAGCTTGCACTTCGCGGCAGTTACGATGCCACGGCGGCATGGCGGCAGGTGCCTCCATGCCTTCGTAGAACCTACCAATAAAGCGCAAAATCGCGTTGGTGTACCTGGCAGACCGGGCTAAACTACCCAAACGGAAGTCCATGCAAGCCAGGCCACGCGCTTCGCACTTTGCGTGGCACGTGCAGCCCGAAATCTTCACAAAAGCCGCTGGATGACGTGCAAAAAACCAGGAAGGCATGAATGTAGATTTGGATACACAATGACAATGAATCCCTCCGAACAACAGCCCCCCAGTGCGGCGCACCGAACGCATTGCTTCTTTCCTCCCACATCCATGCGAATTTCTGGTGGCCCGGCGGTCTTTGGCGCCTGGCAAAGGATAATGAGGCATCAACAACATTCGGCAACCCGCTGCATCTCTTCAGGGTACAAGGCCACAAAATGCCATCACTATCCCTGACTCCCACAAACCGCAACTCTCTCCCTCCTCCCACACGAGCCTTGCCTCCAGGCGCAGCTCCAGGCCTGCCGCATGCGCGGCGACGAGGATCTTGTGCGTGGAGGCCTCACGAAAAAAAAACGTACAGCTGCGGCGTGAGAACTTGGAGCTTCGACAAAAAGCAAACCCTGTTGGGTGAAGTAGGCTATGATGCCTCAGCAGCGCTTGCCACGAGGCATGGGGTGGCACCTGGCAGAGTAGGGGGTGCAGGCTGCATGCTGCAGACCCCTGTGCTCCCTTGCTCCACCGAACTCTGAACAGGAAATCGTCAGGGCGTGGCCCGGCATTGTGGCCGTCTGCACCCCGATCCTACCTCTCCTTTACGTAAGCCAAAATGCTGGCGGGCTTTTGGCTGCAAGGAAGCCTCCACAAACACACTTGCTTCGAAAGTGTGAGTCCTACGCAAAATACATCAAGAGACCAGCAAGTGCCAAGCACCTGCTCAATTGCTGGTCTTTGTGATGCATCCGGCGAGAGATGTGCATCTCTGTTCTGTGAAACATCTACCCCACAGCACGCCACAAGCAGGTCAGCCACGAATGTCCACCTGGATGTGTGGGCGTTGTGGGCGTAGAGCATTTGCACTGCAGGCCGAAGCCCGGCATGAGGAAAATCTATTGCCATCTGTCTTCTGGCCCCCCGTAGTTTTTGCATTGTGGACAATGGTAAATCATCGATACTTGCATCAACGACTGTCAAAGCCCGCGCCACCCAAAATCGACGGCCTCAAGTTCAACTCTAATTGTCATGAACTGTTGCAGTGTACATCGACTGCGGAGACTTGAGGCTGTCGGAAGCTGTAACTGGCCCTGGGCAACGACGGATGGGGAGGCTGCCAAAGGACAAGGGAACCTCTCTCAAGGCCTGACGTGTGGGCACAGCCTCAGATCACGTCGCCTTCTTTCCCAGCATCACCTCTTTGGCCTCCAGAGCAATCCCAACCACGCAACCTGGAACCGGCCAGGACCTACCGAAATTACCGCACCTCGTTGATCTTGGAGGCGATGTATGTGGATCCTCCCTTGTCGGGGTGGTTCGCAATCAGCAGCCTGCAAGAGAACCATAGAGAACCGCTGGCACAGATGAAAGCTACCTCGTCAAAAGCAAGACTGGCCTCCGGTGCGCCTCCCGCACTGCCTCCTTGTTCGGGGCCATGGAAGACAGATTCAGAATCTGCCGGGCCTGGCGCCCAGGGTCAGAAAAGATCCTTACGGAGACTCTGCCCAAATGCTGGCCAGAAGCCGCCTCTGCGCGAGTCATGGGTGTCTCGAAACCCTGCATGCCACTGCTGAAGCCGAGTCCGCCAAACGATGGCATACTGAGGTTCACCTGCCAAAGACAGGAAGGAAGGCCCTAAACCCTAAACCCGAAACGTGCGATGCGCCTTGACCCCGGAGGCGCGCATGGCCCTTAGGCCCTGGCGAGCAGCCAACGCTCCGAGGCCTCGTCGAACTTCTTCCCACTGAACCCCAGTGTCCCTTTAGGGGATTCGACGTGTATGTACGTATCCAGAAACGGACCACATGAAGAGGGTGTAGGGTAAGGTAACCCTATATAACCTCCATGTTACTCTGCAACCCTAAACTGCGGAAAAGGCTTTCCTTGGGATGTTGGCTTGTTGGATCTGCAGTTTAAGGTGCAGGACGCAGTTTAGGGCAATATAGGGGTAATGAAAAAGAAAAAAGAAACTACTATATAAGGCTTCAAGAACGATGCACATGCCAAGACGCGTGCATCCCTTTTTGCACCGCGTTGGGAAGTGTCACATGCTTTGAGGCTGTACAAAGAGCAAGGCCACCGGCGCGGGTGGGAGCGGCGGGTTTGCTTGAGCGGCACACATCGAAACATTCAGCCTTACTGAAATCAAGGCTTCAAGAACGATGCACATGCCAAGACGCGTGCATCCCTTTTTGCACCGCGTTGGGAAGTGTCACATGCTTTGAGGCTGTACAAAGAGCAAGGCCACCATCCACCCCGAGTCTCCCATAACTGTGCCGTCAAGCACGCTTGCCGGTGGCCAAGAAAACATGCCAGTGCTTGGGCTGAATCCCAAGCCGTGCCAAGGACGAGACTTCGTCCAAAATTGCCCTGAAAGATGCCAAAGCAAAGAATACTGCGTCCCGTGTACGAGAGGGGAGCCGTGGCAAAAACTGTATCGCTGACACTTCCTGCACGTATATCTCCGTTACACGTGATGTCAACCAGCGACCACGTCTCCGCACCAGCTCCGAGTCTTCACATTGCATCATCAGCCAGGTTGCGCCTCCGGCTCGCAGCGAAGCGAGCTCCAGCCACGGGAGGCCGGAGCTGTGAGAGCAAGGTAAGCCCAGAACGTTGCAAAGCTGCCGGAACCTGTTACGTAGCGTCTGGCCCGAGAACGGCCACAAGCGGTCCTCGGCCGTCAGCTTCTCGAAGCCCAGAGCAACGACCTGGAGAAGATCTGGTTGATCTAGTCTAGCAGCTTGGTGCCTCGCAGCTTTGTAACGGGTCTTTGGCTCGCCTATAGAAAGCAGAGCGTACTCAAGGGTGTGGCCGAAGTCGATGGGCAAAAGCAAGTGCTTGCGCTGTGCTGCCAGCACCTCTCCTATCCTCAAAAGGCCACCCCAGGCCAACGCAAGGACTGCCGCTACCTGGGTCCAGCCCCAGCTTAGCGCGAGCGTCAGCAAACTGATCAGCACCTGCCAAGGCATGGCAACATGATGTTCGATTGGTTCAGCTCGTTTCCAAGAGAAAGCGATATCCCACGCGGGTTGTACTAACCGCCTCAACTTCGGCACACGGGCAGTGAAGCTGTTGAGCAACTCGCTGTAGTGAGAGAACGGCCTCCCATTGGTGTAGAGTTGTCTACCGTATCGTACCAGAACAGCATTGATGCCATCGACGTCGACATATCCTGCAGTGTCCTCGAAAAGCGCAGAAGGTATGTCATTCTCTTTGAGCCACATTAGGAAGCTTGACCAGAGCTGGTCTCGGCGAGCCTTGGTTTTTGCTTCGACAGGCCGTCCCAGGGGCAGAGGATCTCCAGCCCTGCGCCTCATGCGTTCCAGGTCACCAGCGTTTCGCGGAGGTGGGCCATGGCTCAGGACTGAAGGGCTTAAGGCAGAAGGACCCTGAACCCCTGAAAACCCAACCCACAGCAGCACCAGCCAGTAGAACCAGCAAGGGCCCTCACCAGGGTACCCAAGAGTTGCGTCAAAGGCAAGGGGGGAGGGCACAAAGGTTCTAAAAGAACGACATCGAAAGCGGTCTTCGGGGCGCCCGGCCGGGCGGAAGTCAGACAGGAGCAGAAGCAGGCGTACCCAACCTGCGGCCCATCGGCGGAGCTTCGGAAGGGCAGCCAGGCACCTAAGCTCTTGAGAGCTGAATTGGGAGAGACTAAAGCCCGGCAGTGCAGGAGGCAGGGGCTTGTCGCGAGTCGGATGGTCGGCTGGCATGAGTCTGGTAGGGCAGTAGGGAGCGGCCGGATACAGACCGAAGGCCAAACACACAGCTCCAATTCTCCTCAAACCTTTCTTGAGACCTGCAGATGGGGAGCGCCCTTTGGCGATGGCACAGCGGGCAACGTTGGAGTCGCACAAAGAGCAGAACCTGGCAGCAACGAGGCCTTGACGAGCCAACTTGCAGCAAAGCCGGTAGACGCAGGCCGTCTCGAGGAGGTTGATGTGGACAGGCCTTCTCCAAGTCCAAACCGAAACGACCTTCCAGTTGCCGGCCTGGGCAAGCTGGTTTACAAGCGGAGATTCCAAACCTTCGACCTCAAGGGAGCATGACTCGAGGGCAGCGTGCCTGAGAGAGATGGCGCGCGAGAAAGCTTTAGCAATGGCTAGCGCAAGGGCATCAGGATATGCCGCAGAAGCCTTTGTAGTCTGATGGCCTTGGGACCGGACATGCGTGTGGTCCTTGCTGCAGCACCTCGTGAGGGAGGACAGGTCGCACGCAACAGCAAGGAAGCGCCAAGGTTTCATGCAAGCCGTTCCAAAAGCACAGCCGACAGTGAAGATCTCAGAGGCGCCAGGCAGGGCGGCAACAGCCTTCCAAGAGGGCAGTCGAATCATCTTCGAATTTCGAGGCTGTTCCAAGGCAGAGGCTATACCGTGGTCGTGGCAGGCCTTGAGGACAGTTAGGCTTCTGAGAGCGAGGACAGTGCCAAGCTTGGTCCTCCTTTCAGAGGGATCGAACCCGAACGGCTGGGCCCAGGAGCGAAGGGCCGGACGAACCGCATCTGAGAAAGTGGCGCTGGGCGGTCGGACAAACACAGCATCAACGAGCCCCTCCGTTATTAAATGGAGGACCCATTCCAGGACTCGAACACAAGTAAAGTCATACTCGGGCGAGATAGTGATGTCGAGCAGGGGCCCGGTGCGCCACCCGAACTCTCTGATATACTGACTGACCTTGCCAGTGCCCCCACAAACTTCGATGAAATGAAAGCGGAGAGCAAGGGGCTTCGCGGGCCCAGCCTTGGGAGGCTCGAAAACGCCGTCGCCCGGCAACTCCTCAAACATTTCGTCAACACGACGCAGGGCAACCCGTTCTCTGGAAAGGAGCCTGGCAGAACTGGCTGTACCCTGGGTCGAGTGCCAAAGCAAACGGGACACGTGCTCAGGCAGACTGGTCTGGACGATTGCCCCTTTATCGTCGGAGGAGTCGGTGGCAAAGAGGCAAGACAGCCATGGCGCAGAGATGTCGGCTGTCAAGATATGAGTGAGCGCGGCAAGCAGCACAAGCTCATCCGCGGTGGTCCTCGGCAGGGGTACAACCTTGACCTGGTCGGGCTCAACTTGAGAAGCATCAATGAGCTTGTAGCATCTATCAAGCACCGACATTAGGGGTCTACGGTAGAGCAATCCCGAAGTCCAAGCGCCAAGCAGGCAAAGGTGCAAGTGGTCAGAAGTGGCCTCGAGCCTAGCGACCTCAAGGGTAACCGCCGCAAGCGAGACCCTCTTGGCACGGGAGGGTCCTACCAGACCTAATCCAAGGGCAATGGTAGAAGGTGAAGTGTCTACCTCAGCCCCAGTGCAGGAAGCCACTGGGGCGTCGTTGATGTCCTTTTCAGGAGATCCGAGGATACCGCTGTCAGCGTAGGCCTCCTTGGCTTTAGCAGCAGCCAGCTCGGCCGAACAAGGCTCCACGGAACCATGAGGCTTCTGCGCGATGCTGTAATAATCGTCGATGACGAGGCCTTCAATGAGGCCGTCTCTGCCACCTGGAGGAAACAAGGATGATCCGAGGACTCGAGTGTCGTCACCCAACAAACCATGGCTGGACAGGAAATTAGAGTGAGAGGATGTCGCGTACTCTACTCCTAAAGAATCCCCCTGAAGTACAGCGCCAAACCCAAGGTATAGATGGTCGGGCCGGGAAGCGTGGTTGGCCTCTGCAGGCTCGCGAACTTGGGGCCCGGACCTTTGCAAGAATTCCTGGTAAGCCCACGTCTCGCGAAGACGCGAAGTCGGGAGCGGGGGAACCAAAATATTTCGACGGGATCGTCGCAAAGGGACCCTCAGCTGGTGGTAAAAATCTCGCCTGTCTGAGATGTTAATGGACAACCGATGGGTGGAAGGCGAAACATAAAGCCCCGTCAAGGCGACTCCAGTCGGAATATGTCGAGAGGGACCCGGGATGGACCCTTCGACCCAGTTGCGGCCGCGCCTGTCCGCTATCTGTCTGTCAGTCGTTTCGTTTTTCAGTGCATTGAACAGGCGTACGCCCTCGTAGGGCCGGGACAGAGGAGGTCCAGCGTCGTGCAGAACGAGCAGGCGTCGAGCATCCCATAGCAGCGCGACCTTCTCAAGTTCAGGCACCTTCTCTTGGTTCAGGAGGGGGACGTCTGCCCGGCCTGGCGGGGCCACCTCCTCCAAGACCAGACTGTTCGGCTCCCTGAAAGCCAGGTACAATGAAGGATCAAGGTAGGGCGATGGATCCCAATTGCCCTGGCCACTGAGTTTAAGGCGCTCGACCTGGAGCGACCGATAAGGAGAAAGGGCCGCTTCCTTCTCCTCAGAGGTTTGGGTCACTCCCGGAAAAGCGGGCCCGTATGGATCAAAAGAAGGGCCCATTTTGGTGAGGAAACTTGAGACTTCACCAAGCCGTGCAATTAATTGAGCTGATCGGCGCGACGCCGCCGGCACATTGACAGGCGGGATGGCACCGCAAGCTCTGACAAGCCTCTCAATGTACCGCAGAGCATTGGTCTGAGCAGCATTGGGCGGCCTCCGCAGGGCCGCTCTTGGCACGAAAGAGCAGCCGGCATGAAGGTAGTCGAGGGCCGCAACGGTCACGAAAACAACTCGTTGGATGCCCAGGCGTCCGCGGGCGCGGGAGTTCATGCGCGGGTCCGGTTGCCTGAATACTCCTTTGTAGGGCAGAGGCAGCGGGAACAGAGACTTGGCAGGAGGCATCGAGCCATCCTGGTGCAGGTGCAAAATGGAGGACAGGAAGGCCGCGAAGGGGGTCCTCGTCCGGATAATCCGAAAAGCAAAAGAGAGCGACCACCGTCGAAAAGAAAGGCAGCCTGCCGTAGGGCCATGGTCCTGTGATGACTTAGGCCGGGAGTTGTCCGCGAGGGTCTTAGCCTCGCGTTCCTCCGGAGGAAGGTAGGCAGGTGCAGCGGGGTGCTCTTTTCTAGTCACGCCACAGGAAGGCAGACTTTGAGGCATTGAATTCGAAGTGCAGACAAATGGCACGGAGGGTTCATGGCGACCTGCTGCAGCCAGGACAGCAGACCTTTGCTGGGATTTGGGGCATTGAGTGCCAGAAGAAGCGCTTGAAGCCAGGGACGAGTCGGCAGCAAAAGAGAACGATGAGCCGACGTCGTCAGGGCTAGAAGGCAGTGGGGCAAGAGGGCACTCAGCGCCCAGGGCCGGAAGCGAGCAGGCTGCGACAGGGACAAGTCCAGGCGGGGCACTGTGGAGAAGTGGGCACTCATGGCCCGCCGGAGGCGAGCCGGCCGCGACAGAGAAAAACAGTTCGCTTTGACCTGGTTTGCTGCAGGGCAGGACAAGTGGGCACTCAGGGCCCACGGCCGGAGGCGAGCCGGCAGCGACAGGGACAAGTCCAGGAGGGGCGCATCGAAACGGATCTCTGCAGGGCTGGACAAGTGGGCACTCATGGCCCGCCGGAGGCGAGCCGGCAGCGACAGAGAAAAGTAGTGCACTTTGCGCTGGATTGCTGCAGGGCAGGACAGGCGGGCACTCAGGGCCCACGGCCGGAGGCGAGCCGGCAGCGACAGGGACAAGTCCAGGAGGGGCGCGTCGAAACGGATCTCCGCAGGGCTGGACAAGTGGGCACTCATGGCCCGCCGGAGGCGAGCCGGCAGCGACAGAGAAAAGCAGTGCACTTTGCGCTGGATTGCTGCAGGGCAGGACAGGTGGGCACTCAAGGCCCACGGCCGGAGACGAGCCGGCAGCGACAGAGAAAAACGCAGGATGGACAAGTCCAGGAGGGGCGCGTGGAACTGGATTTCTGCATGGCTGGACCGGGCACTCATGACCCATGGCCGGAGGCGAGCCGGCAGCGACAGAGGCAGGTGGCGCAGGATTTTTGCAGGAGTGGACAAGTAGGCACTCATGGCCCACAGCTGGAGACGAGCCAGCAGCGACAGGGTGGAAGAAGTTGCATGGCAGGACAGGTGGGCACTCACGACCCACGGCCGGAGGCGAGCCGGCAGCGACAAGGCTGGGAGACGCAAGGCAAGCGTGATGTGAGGCATGAATAGCAGAACCAAAGCGGGGGCTCTCAGGGCCCGGAACCAGAGGCGAGCCAGCGAAGCTGCAAAAGGGAGGAAAACTGCTTGAGTGCATCGGGCACGCATGGCCCCGGACAGGTGAGGGGGCGACCGCAAAGGGCACACTGCTAACAGGAGCAGACAGCGAACAAGTGGGCAGGGCACCCTGAGCTGCCAAAAGGGGGAACAAAAGGAGCTGCCTAGGGCCTGTCAAGACCCTTCTGCTTTGGGCTTTCGGGGAAACCTTGGCTTTCTCGGAGGCTTTCTGGGCGAGTCCTCCTCCTGACCTGTCCTGCGAGGCGCTGACCCGGACCCTGAGGCCTCGTTCCTCCTTGCCAGAATCGCGTCGGCTTCTTTCAAATAAGCCAGCGCGGTCGTGGCCCACGGCGCGGGACAGAGAGGGGCCCACGCCCTCAGGCGAGGATTGTTTGGGGTGCCTCGTCCTTGAAAGATCTGCGCAGGCGGGTCCGGGAACAATGAAAGGGTGTAGGCAACCTCCCATCGCCCATGATCTTGCGCTGCCTGTTCGGTCGCCACAAGCATCAATGAGATCAAGTCCAAACTGCCCGCCACCTCGCCAGTCAGGAGGAGGTCGGCGACCTGGCTGAGCATGTACATGATGAGCCCCAGCTCCCTCTGGTGTTGGTAACCTCCATAACGCTCCAGGTAGTCGCTGAAACGGAAAGGCGCAGCCGACCCTTGGATCTCGGAGAGGCTCCGGGGCAAAGGCCCTGTTGGGTTCATACGCCTGAAGCCTGACTGAGCGACGGCCAGCATGAAGTTGCCTGAATAGGTCGCGAGTTCCGCCTGTAGCTTCTCGCGCTTTGCCGAGCCTTTTGTAGAGAGGGCCGATGACCCCTGGCCTCCTCCGCCGAAGTCTCCTGAGTTCTCCGAGGCCTGGCTGATCAAGTGGTTGACCAGGAGAGTCAGGGCGTTGCTCTGTTGAGCCAGGGAGGCTCCAAGCCCAGCACCCTCTAGCACCTCGCTCCCATCCTCGGGCAGTCCCACCGTCGGGGCAGGAGGAGGGTCCAGAAGCTGAGTTGCACGGACCTTTGGCGGGGGCCCGAAGCAAGCGGCAAAGGCTGATGCGGTGTCGGGGCTGGCCTTGTTTGCTGCTGGCAAAAGGAAAGGCATGCGATGCGCAGGCGGGGGCTGCATGGGAGTGGCCCGGTTGACCGGGGCTGCTGGAACCTGATTGGCCTGAACCTGCTCTTCTAGAGCCTGCTGGCGTTCTGTCAGAGAGCCAAGCTGGCTGGCCAGTTTGGGCATGACTTCTAGAAGGGAGGAGAGCTGAGAAGCCAGCTGTGCCGTGGTAGGCTTCTTCGTCTTGGGGGCCTTGGCAGCCGCCTTTGGGCCTGCTGGAGGATTGCGTGGCACCTCCTCGACCTGCTCTTCTTCCGGAGCCGTGTAAAACCCCATTCTTTCGGCATCTGCGGTGTGCAGCCAAGCCCGAGCTAAACCCAGCAAAGCCTCGACGTTGGGAAACCTGCCAGGGTGCTCTGGGTCGAAAGGTGTCACGCCAGTGTCCACCAGAGGCTCGTACACTGAAAGGTGGCTCGCAGCCATGTCGGAAACGTCCACAAGCAAGATAGGGAGAGAAGCACCGGCAGGCTGCTCCTCGCCCTCCTCGGTCTCCTCGACGGCTGGGACATCCAAAACGGTCGAAGGTCCATGCAAGGTTGTCGGATCCGCGTCCTCTCCTGCAAGAAGCAGGTTTGGGGGCACGCTGTTGGCAGGCAGTGCCAGGAGCATACCTCCGGGCCTTTGCATGACAGGGCAGCAGAGAACCTTGGCATTGCGATCGCCTGGACTGCCGGCGACAGGGGGACCAGCAAGGTATGGCGTCAGAACACCGTAGGTGGCATAGGCGAGCTCGGAGGCATCTAGCGCATCCATCATGGCTCCTCTGGCGGGAAATCAACACCTGCAGCTCGACAATAGACCCTACACTCGCCCTCAGTGGGAAAGCCGTGGCACACCGTGTCGTGCGACAGCCGCCCGACGGCCAGTTTAAAGGACCCAAAGCTCTTGTAAAAACCACCCCTTCCCAAGCGAGGATTTCTGAGAACCACGTAAACCCTTGGTCTGACCGAAAGATCTGGGGTAGGCTCCACGCAATGCAGCTCTCCTCGAAGCACTCGACCGGCGGAAAGGCCTGCGGCCCAGGCTCTCGCGGCGCGAGAGGCCCTGACTGAAGGAGCCAGGGTAACACAAAGATGCAGGCACTCAGAAGGCAGAGGGCTAGGGGCAGGACTGGAACCACTAGGGGTCTGGGGTAATGTGACAGAGCTGGTTGCAGCAGGTGGTGTTGGAGACTCGACCAATTGCCAGCCGTTTTGAGACACACCGCCCTCGAGGGCTTGTACAATGGCCCCGGAAGCAATATGCAGTTGTTCAAAGGCCTGAGAGAGCGCTTGAAGGTCAAAAGAGCCTTCCGTAAGCTCGTCACTCATGCAAGTAGGCCCGCAGCCTAGGATACACGTTGGGTCGGCGAGTGACTAAAGCCGGGGAAGAGGTGCCGGTGTCTCCTGCCCCGATGCCTGAAGGACAAGAGGGCCAGGAAGGAGGAGCAACAAAGAGGGTCCTGCGGAAGAGGAAGAGCGTTAGGAGGGCCCCAACCCCAAGGCCGGATACAAAAGCGAGGGTGAGGACGGATAGGGAGCCAGTGCAGTGCGCTGGGCAAACTAAACCCCACCAACCCGAAGCTGAACCGGCCGAAAGAAAACCCAGAACCTGGGGGACCCAGGCCACCATTTGCTTGAGCGGCACACATCGAAACATTCAGCCTTACTGAAATCAGGATATTGGGAATATGTAGGGGTTATTTAGGGATAATGGAAAAGACTGTCAGCTGTTGACCCCGGCATTTTGCTTCCTTCCTTCCCTGAGCAACCTGGCATGAGCAAGCCGTTGCCATCACGGCAGGGGTCGGAACAATCGCGGCAACAGGTCATAGCGAGATCCCAGAACCAGACAGACATCTGACAGTATATGTACCATGGCCACCGGCGTCATGCTCTGGGACCACTCCCTCACAAGAATGTAGCCTGGCGTCACCACAAACCTGCTGGTGAACAGCACCGTATGCTGGGGCTCCACACGCACATAGTCTGGCAGAAACTTCGTCCAGAAGAACACATGAATGGATCCCACCAGGGCGAGGCAAGCCAGCAATCCCAGCGTGCTCTGCGCAAGTCGGCGTCCCATGGAGAAAGGCACTTCTGAGAGGCCATACTTATCAAAGGCGTCGAAGCAGTAGAGCCAGGAGAGTTGCTCCAGCATGGAATTCGCGGGAGCCCACACCAGCAGTGTACAAAGAAATCCAGCCTGCGTCCAGCTAGCGTCCTGGTCCACCTCGTGGTGAATCTTTGCCGCAAGCTATGAGTGTCAATGTCGAGAAGACTCAGTTCACTGGGTTCATGGAAAAAAGGGACTCCCATGTTTTGCTGCAAACATGGGTCTTGCACGGCAGAAACCCCACCCAGCATGCATTAGCATTCAAATGCCGTGTCAAGGAGGCGGGGGTCGTTCCACATTCGGGTACTCTATTTGTTTCTTGTGTCGAGAGGAAATCTTTCTTGGCAGACCCATTCTCGCCTGAATAGTCTCAAACGATGCCACTTGAGCGCAGGCCTGCACCGCCAAGAGCACGCAAAAAGCGGCAACGAGCTTGTAGCTGCGGCAGCGTTGAAGCGAGTTCGGCGGAAATCGCCATGGGACCAGGTTCCATGGTGGGGAGTAGCCGAAGGTACCCCGCCTCCAACGGACGATCAACACGCAGTACCTGGGTCTGAGGCATTGAGACTTCACTTCTTGGCCCAAACTCCACAAGCTAAACACGCGCTCGGCTCACACCTAGAAAAGAAGAGTTCTGAAGAAACTACAGAGAGCCCACTTGGACCCCTTGAGAGGATCTCGGAACCAGGCCGGGATTGCTCTCAAAGTTTCAGCCATGGGCCTCATTTAGGGTTAGGGGATTGCGGGACTTCGTCAGGTTGATTTCTAAATGCAGGGTTGAGGGCTTGGAGGGCTTAGTACGTAGGGCTCCCACTGAAGCACCCAAAACCCCAAAAACCCCAAAAACCCCAAATCCTGAAACCCAAACGCTACATCACACCAAACCTGCGAGCCAGGGACAGCCCGTAGTACAAGAGCAGCGGCAGGGCAGCGCCACAGCTCTCGAGGAGCTTCCGGCAGCCTGCAGGGGATAAAAAGGCTTAGGGGTTTGGGATTTTAAGAGTTTGCAGGGTTTAGAGGGTTTACAGGGTTTACAGGGTTTTACAGGGTTTCTGGTTTGGGTATCAGGTTTAGGGTGCATAGGGTATGAGGTTTAGGGTGCAGAGGGTTTCGTGTTCAGACTGAGAGTCAAAGGCTGGGGGGCGTCAGGCAGGTAAGCTGGGGGGGAAGAAGCTTCTTTCGGGCCTCACCGCTTCGAGAGCCCGCGAGAAATCTTGAAACCCCCAACCGTAACTCTGAAGCGCTTCTAGATTCTGAGTGCTTCAGCTTAGTTAAAAATCTTCCCAGACCTCACGGCTCTCACTTGCACCCCCTAGATCCTTGGCTTCTGGGTCCTAAACACTTTCGGGAGGGCTCTTCTGACTCAAGGTCCCCCTAAAGTACCCCATGCCTCGTATCAGGACCCCGAAGACTCAAGCACAATCTCCCGTATCTCAACAATGAGCACAATGAGCCCAGATGCACAGCGGCAGAAGGCAGACGGCGGAGAGTGCCAAGGCCACATCAAGGCAAGTCGTGGCTGTCTGTGAGGGCGGCGTCGAGCCCGGTGCCGCCAGCTCAAAGGTGCTCGCACGAGGAGGCTCGGCCATCGCTGCGCCGAGTTAAGGGTTTCGGGGCGTGGGATGGGCGTAGCAACGTAGAGTGTCTGAATGCTGGCTGGCAGTTGCGAAAGGACTGCTCCATATTCGGAGCTTCTTGTAGGCTCCCTCCTATACTTGACTTTAGGCGTGAAGGCGTAGGGGCTTCGGGCTTATAGAGTTTAGGATCTAAACCCGTGGGTGTGGAAGTTTAGGTACTAACCACTTCTGTACTGTAAGCCAAGGCAGGAACTAGGATGCAGGAGCCGCCTCTGGCTCCCGTCCTCAACCCTAGAAACCCTCTTACTGATGAAAACTATGTACATAATGTGGGGTTTATGGGTGTAGGGATTAGGGTTTAGGGTTTAGGGTTTAGGGTTAGGGCGCAGAGTTTGGGGATCTTTGAAACTCTCCGCATAGAACATGCTGTAACCCATCACAATGAAGTGCCCACCCAATGGAGCAGAAAGGAAGGTCCGGCCTATGCCGCCCAAAAGAAGCGGCCACATACCTCAGCGTGAGCAAGGATAATTTTGTACATGTTGATACACTTAACACATCGTAATATACACACACATCACAGAGAAAGAAGGAGATATATATATATATATATCTGTATATGTATATACATATATATATATATATATACATTCTGAAAAATGTCAATCGTATGCAGCAATATATATATATATATATATATAGAGAGAGATATATATATATATACATACATACGTATTTATTGACACGACGGTGAAAACCGAGGCTGAACCCCTGGGCACTGGATCCTTGCGACGGCACAGCGTCCGAGGCCTTCGAAGCCTTGGATCTCGGAGCTGGACCTTGGTGAGGCTGGCGCTCCCTTGGAAAGAACTGAGAGTCGAAAATCTCCACAGGACGTTAGAGCGATCATTTTCCATCGTCCGCCAAGAGAGCTGGGAGGGTCTGCACTAGGGTTTGGAGGCAAGCCCTTGGCCAAGAACCCGTATCGAGGATGGCCGAAAAGGGAACGCCCACAGTGCAGGTCTCCATACACGTCAAAGCTGCCTTCTTTTTGGAGGCATCTTGCCGTGGCTCTCCAGCGCTACTTTGGCCCCATCGTGCTCTCCCTCTCAGCGTTGGAAGATCGGCCTGGCAGTGTCGTAGAGGATGCCACACCTGAGCTCGGCAACTGCTTCATTGATGTTTTCTCACAGTCACACTATGGTTACACTATGGCATCACTATGGTCTACTATAGTCTACGCGCGTCTACAGATGGCAGGGAGAGTCGGATCCATGGAGGTCTGAGTCCAGGGCATGCCGCAGACTCTCACCTGCTTGGGGCCACCGGCACAGCCGGTTCCCAGCTCCGGCTGATTGTCGATGCCGCACCAGCTCTCCTTGCATAAAGTCAGATCATTCTGTGAGTGTTTCGGGCAGTTCGGCGTCTCCCGACGGCGGAATCCTCCTGGTCATTGCGCAGGATGCGGATGGTACCATCCTCGCCAAAGTTTTTTCCCCAGGAGTTGAGAATCCTCCAGTACTTCTTCCCCAACTCGGCATCCTCAAGGCAAGCAGACATCTCATTCAGGCCTTTGGGGGTTGCGCGTGTTTTGGGTCTATGCACATTCTTCAGCTCAGCATCCTTTCCATAGCCAATGAGGGTGACGGCATGGTCGATGATGGCATCCTTGCCGCAGTAGTCGAAGATGCCCTTCAGGTACAGATCCCACGAATCTGCACCTCGCGGTTCAACGCGGGAAGCCAAAACGGCGTGCACATAAACTTGCAAGTAACCTGAAGCAACGCAAGCCCTGAACACCCAGGGCCCTCTCCAATGTTCCGCAGCAGGGGCACTGACGGAGACGGCCACGGGGCCATGTTGAACGACGGCCCTCATCCTCAGAATTTGCACGGCATGATAGCAGAAAAGAGTTGACAGCAACGAAACGGCGAAGAAACGCCAAGGCCCCAGTCGTGACCGTCATATCATGCAGGCCCAGGGGCAAAGGCAGATACTGGTTCTCTGGCAACTTCTCCCAACCTCAGACGTGCCAAACGCTCCTAACAACCATGTGGAAGCCTGGGGTCTGAGGCCAAACTAGCCGTGCAGCCCTCTACACCCTAGAATCGCCTTGAAAGCCCAAAGGTCCCAAACCCCAAAGCCGTTGAAAACCCTGAAACCTTTTGAGCTGTAAACCTGAGAAGCCTCACAAAGCCCCTTAAAACCCTTCAAGCCCTATACCCCATCATCGGCCCTGCAACAAAAGGCCTCCGTCGTGACTTGAGCTAGGGCCGAGATGCCGTGCATGCCCAGCGTCTGCAAGCCCACGGATTTTTTATTTGCCTTCCGGACCTGAGGAGGTTTGGGCTCCAAGGGTACCAAGATGTACCAAGGATGCTTTAAGGGGGGTTTCGGGAGCAGTGAGGGGGGACTCGAGACCCTGCACTCTGCGACTCTGCGAGGCCGGTCTTCGAGGCAAGCACACCCGCTGATGCAAGGTCATCTGACCCAGCCAGCTGCAGAGCTGCCATGGAGCCTCAGCTCGCAGCGCTGAGGAGCTGTGGCACGGAAGAAAGTGGCTGGTAAGGGGCTCATCAGTATGTATGTATAACACTCCCAACACGCACAACCTGCCAAGGATCTGCTTTGGCACGTCTGATCAGATCCTTTGCAGCTCGGAACTCCCACGGAAGATAGGTTGAAATTCGAAAGCTGTTTTGCACGCTTGAGAGTTCCAACCCTGAGCAACACAGCTCGATCTGCACCCGTCCTTGATATGGATTCTGACTCTCCTGAGTTGCCACTCACATGTTGGAGTTCAGTGAGACATCAAAAGCGGCGGAAGGTTCCCGCTAAGTTGATGCTGACGGCCTTTATTACAAACCTCGCTACGGGGAATCGCTTAGCGGATTCCTTGCCGACTCCCACCCTGCCCTAAACCCTAAACCCTAAACCCTGAACCCCTCTCAGATCTCTGAAGCATGTGGGGGTGGTGGCACTGCCCCGAGAGCACCAGTGAGCATGGACAAGGTACAAGTGGTTGACGGAGGACTCAGCGAGATGCTCTGTTGTGTCTGTGTGGGCACGGCGGAACGCAGTGCATACACTTTGCGTGTACATTCCGCTTCGCAACAGGGGGGGGGAGAGGGGGCAACAGATTTGCAGCACCATTGGGCTGGTATTTTTGACTTGGGACACCTTAAGGGCTTGCGATGACTCCAGCGAAGGGCTTGGAGTGGTTTGGGGAACCGGGGGACGGGGCGGAGGGGAGGCTTGTCAGAAGGGGGTTTGGGAGGGGTTTGGCAAAACAGCCTTGGCAGGACACCTCTGCTTGGCACCACAGCACAACGCACGCCTCATGATGCACGCATTTGGTCTCTTGCTGTTGGTATGCATGGCGTGTCGAAGAGGCTCAAGAGGGGGTGGGCTTGGCTCTGCGCCTCTGCCTTGCAAGCGTTTAGGCTGCCCTGGTTTGCAGGCCAAGGCTCCGTGGCCAAGCCATTCGCAACGACATATGCCATTGCGAGCTCCACGGTAGCGCCAGCACAGCCACCGGAACCACCACAATTCCTTTGAACATGTCAGAGGTCAGAGGTTCAGTATCCTGGTCTCTGCTTAGTCCATGATACTATTGCCACCGTGCCGCCGACTGTTCTCAACACCTGAGCTTGAGGGTTGACATCTTCACCCGCCCGAACCGCTGCCTTCTCAAAATATACCATTAATCTCGTGGGCCCCCATTCCTGGTGAGATCAGAGATCTTCCCCAAGCACGTGTATCACTGCCGAGATTCAGTCCACCAGCTGCTGCGCCGACAGCTGCTCCTGCCAGAAGAAAATGCAGCAACAAGAGGTGGCTCGACGTCTCAACACCTGTCGCCGCACAGCAGATGGTCACAGTATCCTGCTTTCCGAGGTAGATCTCTCGGTGCGCCTGCCATGACATGCTTGAGCAGTGTGATGCTATGACGCACAGCCATCTCTGCCCATGTCCCCATGAAAAGGAACCTGTGGCGCAGGAGCAGAGACTTCTTCCACGCTCTTCGATGATGTTACGCAACTTTTGGGGGTTTACGAAACTTCGGAAACCCTCCTAATCTCGTCCCCCAAATAGCAGGGGATCCCCTTATGAATAAGGAGCCCCAAAAGGTACCCCTAATTTCGGAAACCCGGTTTAGGGTTTAGGGTTTGGGGTTTAGGGTTTAGGGTTTAGGTGCTCTTCATTGCAGCTGGATTCCCCCCACAGTGTCGGCCTCAAGAACTGTGGCCGAGGTCACCTGGCCATCTCGAATGGAAGGGACCTTCTGGCCTCCCTAGTCATACCATACTATCTTGTATTGCAATATATTATACACCATTAAATATACTCATATTGCAGTATACAAGCTCTCAACCCTAAAGCCAAACAAATGCCACACCGGATAGGAGGCACAATTCGCAAGAACTGAGCCCCCTGCCGCCCAGCAGGAGCCGCAGCCGCCCTGATCCTTGGCCTAAGCACAGGAGGCACACCGTCACAGAGCCAAGGAATCACTCGGGGTACCACCTTACCTCTGAACATGAGCTCACATGCGCATCATAAAGCTTGGGAGCTGCAGGTGTAAGTTGGGATGTTCCCCCTTTTATACTAACAGTATATGGGGGGGGGGGGGGGTACTATGATCCCTATTAAGGGCTGTTGGGGAACATCCCAAGATGCAAGTTGGGAATCTCCAGAGCCCTGGCCTGCAGCATGGTCAGGTTCGCCCACTTGTTGCACTCGTCCGGGAGATCGGACTCGGACTGGAGAAGAGACATCTGGCTCCTTTAAGGGGGGGGAGAGGGGGGGGTTTAAGGGGGGGGTGGGGGATGTGGCCCACTCCGAAAGGCATGGAACTGCCTTCCGTCTGAGTCTGCACAACAAACACATTCTTCCCAACCGCCCTTCACCGACTGATTCTAGCATCGCACTCCCTTCTGGTTGTTGGAAGCCCGTGTCCTGAGCGATTTGGACACTTGTCCGCCGGTGCGGCCTTGGTGGCCAATGCAAGTTCACTGTGGGTAGCCTTCAACCTCTGAGGCAAAGTCTGTAAGCTGCTGGACACTGCGCACAAGCTGAGCGCCTTGCTGGCGAAGCCTGCCCAACCCTTCTTCTGGCTCAACTCCTGCGCGGAAACTTGCAGATCCCAGCCCAATTCAAAGAGCCGCCCTCAACCGCGCAGAACCATGAGCCCATTGTGGAAACGTGCTTCCTCCGGCGTCAGGTCCGAGAGAGGGCTCACACCCGCGATCCAAAGATGGCCTGTTGGGCAGTTGCATACTCTTCTTTCCCATCTTGTCATTTTATACTGTGCCCTTGTACTGCATAATTCCACTATTGTCCTAAAATATTGTTCACAAAAGTATATTATAACCAATTCCGAAGAGGCGCCTGGGCGGGAGTTGATGGCCTCGGCTTTCTGGAGACGCTCGGAGAAGAGGGTCAAGCGCTTGAAGTACTCATGGGTGCCTTTCCTCAGAAGCAGGACAGAGGGAAAAAAATGAAAACAAGAGGGAAAGAGCGCACACAATCGATGGTTATACAAAAATCTTCTACAAACATCTCTGAATCCGAGGGGCTTGTAGTGACGTCCATGCCTAGGGGAGCTCAGAGTCGGTGAAAAAGACACAAGAGCAGCAGATAATAATGCCTCAAACCCTGAGCAGAAATCCCGAAAACAACACAAAGCTGCAGGCCTCGAATTTCAAGAGGGCGAAACAAAAAGCGAGGTTCTAGAGCTCCGAAGCAGTTGACATTGACCGACTAAAAGCACATCCTCCCTACGAAATGCTAGACACGTATGTCCCGCATTGTGGAAAGACCGCTGCTTGACTGGGGCGTAATGCAGGCCCGAGTGGCTGGTCAATGAAACTGTGAAAGGCTGCGATGTGGTCCCCCGGCACGTGGTCTTTGACGAGGACTCCAGCCGCGAGCGGGACAAGAACGATGTATGCCAACTGCAGCTGCATTGCGGTGATTCGCCTTAGCTTCAAACTTCAGAGAGTGTCCCACAAGAGCCACAGAGTGGCCCCAGGAGTCCTGCAAGAGAGATCTCCTGAGAAGCAGGCTAGCAGATGGATGAGTGATAACAAGGCAGGCAGAGTTGCTTAACTCTACCACCGATTGGGCATGAGTGGCTGCGAGGTTGAAAAGCGAAGCATGCCATCGGACAACAAAAGCGTCCCCTCCCACCCATCCCCCAAAAAAAAGGCTTGGCAAAGGCAGAAGGAGAAGCAAAGGAGAAGAGCAACTACAGAGCCGACAGTCCGGCGCCTCTCGGCCTCTGAGGTCCACACCGGCGGCGGTCTGTGCGGCCTGCTCTTTACAAGGACTCCAATGATCATTAGCCATTTTTGCCCCCGTCTCAGTGGCTTTGTGATTTTGGGAGGATGAAGGCCCATTCTTGCGGGAGCGCAAGAGCGTCGGGAGTCGATCTACTGCCCCACTGTGTTGAGATGAACTGCCAGGAATCCTGCCTGCGCAGCCTCAGGCATAGGGGAAAATAGGCGCGCCCTCCTCTCCTTCTGCTTGCTGAGCCGCAGAGGGGCAGATGATCGGCTGCTCGAGCGGTCTACGCGCGGAGTCCAGAGGCAACCAAGGCACCAACCACCCTCCGACATCCCAAAGGTCTCAACATGGACCACTTTTTCAATCTTCGCGGAGCGATGTCGAGTGATGTGCGCCGATGCGCTTGGGTCCAGGGGCCAGACATGATGCAGCACAACATCGCATGCAGTGGGGTCACTGCCGCACTGCGTGCTGCTGGCGGCAGCCCTGTGCCAAGAGGCGTGAGACCATATTGGGTGGAAAAACACAGGTGGCAGGTCTATGATTTTACCAGTATCCTTGCTACATGCAGTTCCAGATAGTTCATACGGGCGTATGCCACATAGGCCCAAGACTGGCATGGTCGATATGCCCTTTGGTACAAAGCCCACGCAACGTAAAGGAGTAAGGGCCGTAAGCCGCATCCTGACCTCTCCACCCTTGTGAAACGCAATCATGCCTCTCTCCCTGTATCTTTCATCGCAGGAGGTGCTCTCATGCATATGCGCAGCCGCTGTCACACACCCAGAAGCGCCGGGCTCAGCTTGTGCAGATGGCTGACACTTTGTTCGGAAATTCACTTCAAGCAGCCGAATATGCATGGTGCAACTAACACCTTTGACATGCAAGTCCAACATTCCACACCTAAATTGAAGGTTGTGGAGATGAAAGGGCACCCTTAGGGCACGAGCTTCAAAATCTCTGGACAAGGCAACCTGGCACGTACCCCGCACTGCACGTGTCATCTTGCCTTACTTACCCAGACAAGCCATTCTTGTTGTTCGAAAATTATAGAGGGTGTTTCGATAGTGTGAGTGGGTGTGAGCTTTCTTCACTGGGACAAGATCATTGTTCTGAGTGTCACTAGCTGCTTGTTTATTCCGGTATGTTAGTCTCCCCTAAGCACAATCAGTCCGAGCCAACAATCGCTCCATGCAGGGCAAAGCAGAGGAAGAGGACCTCAGAAAGAGGACAACTCGTGGGAGAGCGAGGGGCCACAGAGAGAGAGAGAGAGAAAGAGCTGCAATGAGGACACTTAGCCGGCCACCCCACCGGCGCTGACAACCATCCGCTCGGAAATATGCTCGGCCAGGACACGGCCCCCGATGACCTGAGAATGGAATGGCAGATGATGGCGGACTCATGAAGAATGAGCATCGATGATCAGAAACTTGTGCCAAGGGTCACGATTCGTCTTCGGGGCAGCTTGCCATGTCTTGCCATGCTACGTTTCCTCTTTTTTTCTTATATCTTGTTATCCCATTCCATCCCTTCCGATCCCCATTCCAACTCCAGTGACTCCAGTGCTGAAGCAAACTTGCCTGAGCGCCTGAGCTGCGTGCCGCAAGGCTTGTGCAGCAAGAGTGGCCGATTATGCCACCCAGCGTCACACCCAGAGGGTCCTGGAAAGCGGCGAAAAGAGGTAAGGATTCGAATGGATACGAGATTCCTCTCGAGTTTTGTAGTCTGCCGGAGTCTCTCCTTCGCCGCAGCCAGGGCAATGGTCGAAATCTGGGAGCGGTCACCCCACTCGGCCAGGAAGGTGAGAGTTAGCGCCTGGCCAGAGCATGCCCCCTGGGCCAAGAATCTATACCCCAGCACCACCAGCACCACAACTCCACCGAAGACCCCCCTCTTGTGCCGCAGCGGCACCTGGCCAGCCACGGCCCAGGTCTTCTTGCCCTTGGCGCTCTCCTCCTTGTACCCAAGGATTGGAAGCTCAGAGCTTGCGACATCGTCGCCCGACACAGACAGACACAGACACGTCCGATGTCCTTCAAACTCTGCTCGACCTCCTCGAGCTCCTCGCTGGGCCTAAACATTGAAAGGCCAAAGAAGCTGCGTGAAAGCAACACGGTCGCAAGGTCGTTGCGGGGCCTTCACACCGGCAGCGTGGCTACATTTTGCAACAGAGCGCCGCGCGTGGGCACAGCTTTTCCCACGCAATGCTGTCACGCGGAGGCACTGAGGCACCGAGATGGTGAAGGCGGGCTACAATTCAGCCCACCTCCCAGCCATTCCCATGAACAACTCTCGCATTAGCCTACGGGTGCGCTTGGGTGCATCTCGCTGAGACCTTCCCAAGGCTACGTGCCAGCTGCTGCTTCACAGCTGAAACACGGCAGAAGCAAGCCCAGACATAGACTCAGGTTAAGGAATGCGGCTCGATTGGTGACAGCCGATGTTGTGCCTGAGCAAACACCGACAATCAGCATTGCAGGCGGCTTCATGCAATGTCCTTGCGACTTCCGAGGCCTGCACGGAGCGCGTGCGCCGCGCCCCAGAGCCCGCAGGCAAAGCCGGAGCAGCACCTGAGACCCTGTGAAACTGCCGGCGTAGACCCCGGAAAGTGTAAGATTCAAGGTCTAATCTCTCCACTTCACGAGCATGCGGGACTGAGGCAGGGAGCACGATTTGAACCCCCAGGCCCCCTAAACCCTCGTTGGATCCCCATATTGACACACCGGTTCCGGGGGCGAACTCAGCCGCTGCGTTTTTGGGGGGGCTTTCCAGAGAGGCAACAAATGCTAGAACTACAAAAACGAAACATTTAAACGAATTTCCATATATAAAAAACGAAAAGAAAAAGTTGCCACCAAAAACAGCCAATACCCAAAAACCCAAACAACCCAAAAACACCAATTTTCCAGGATTCTTCGAAAAACCAATTTCCACAAAACCAAAAAAAAACAATTCCCGCAAACAAAAAAACCAATTCCCACAAAACCAAAAACAACAATTCCCACAAAACCAAAAAAACAATACCAAAAAAAACAAAAGAACCAAAAAAAACAATTTTCCGGGACTCTGTGAAAGCTGTGGAGATAAGCTTACAAATCAAAAGTCCCGGACAATTGGTTTTTTTGGTTTTCTTGAACAGGTTTTTTTTGCATCACCCTATGCGCTCGAAAACTTCCTAGTCTTATGGTTCGAGGCTTACCATCCTTCCTTCTCCATTAAATATCTGTCTTTGATATGCAAAAATACATATACCCCAGATACATACATGATTTGTGTACTTATTCTGCTGTTTCTTTGCGTTTCCACAGGAGGCAAGCCCTACAAACGTAGGCAGAACCCTATGGGATCCAAGGTCTAGGGATTTATGCCTCAAGCCCTACAGGGTGACAAGGTTCAATTCCTATAGGTAACGCTGAAAACTGAAACACGAGAACTTTTAATCCTACAGGGCTTCATACTGACATACATACATACATACATACATACGTACATACGTACATAAGTACATACGTACATACGTACATACGTACATACGTACCTTCGTAGTTGTTGTAGGGCTAACCCTGTGAAAGTTGTAGAGGTAAACCCTTAAAACCCCTGGACCTGTAAACCCTATAAGGTGTAAACGTCTCAGCACTTGCCTAAGGTCTGGGCATTCATACAATAGCGCCTATAGGGTTAAAACCTTTGAACCCTTTAGAGCCTTATAGGGTTTCTCTCTGGGCTTAGGTTTGCATGCCTAAATCTTAAACCCTAAACCTTTAAATCTTGACCCTATAGGGTTTACAAGGTTCGCCGAAATACGAACCTAAAGGGCTTAGGGTTAAGGTCTTAATGCCGAAGTCTTAAACCCTTAAGGTTTTAACTTTATGGGCTTAGGTTTACATGCCTAAGTCTAAACCATAAACCTTTAAATCTTAACCCTCTTGGGGTTAACAGGGGCGGGAAGTCGCTGCATGTAAAACCCCAAAAACGCAGCGGCTGACTTCGCCCCCCGAACCGACACACCTGCTTGTGCACAAATAACCCGCAGAATCCCCAGAGAATTGCCGAATCTCACACTGCACACTGCAATCTGCACCCTACATTCCGCCACTCTGCACTCCAAGGGCCTCGGTGCGCGAACTGTACGCGGCTGAAGCCTGGCTCCTCCGAGTCCCGGGGCCTCGATTTTGAGAGGCTGCGCAGTGGATGTGTGCTGCAAAGCTTTTACACACCGGACCCTGGAAGCTTTGCCAGCGACAGCCCAGCGACAACCCAAACTAAACTTTTGTGTAACTCTGGAACTTTGAAAAAGGGGATTGATACTGATACATTGATGATGTGGTTGGTGACGTGGAACACTGGATTCTCTGTGATCGACCTTTGCGCTGCTGTTTCACAGGGTCCCCGGCGGTGGCGGGACAGGCGCCAACCGACGCGGCGTCTCGCCAGGCACGCGCAGTGTGCCTGCAGGACAGGGCTCTTCGCTTGAAATGCGGATTGAAACTGTCAAGAATTATGCAAAAGTCCGCGCTCCAAGGCTCCGCAGACCAAAGGGACGCCCCGTGACACTACGAGTATGACCATCTGGACCACTTCTGGACAAAGAACAACCCCCAACCGCAAAGCGCCGAACCAAACCACAGATTCCCTTCACACAAACCCTCTCATCCCTTCTGGCACCTCTCTGACCTCCCATGACCCTTTCTGGAGTCCCTGCGACTCCATGAACCTCCTGTAGCCTCCCTTCACGGCCTCCTGTCTAGACTCCAGACTGTATGGATCTCCAGAGGACCCGCTAGGAGGGTGAACAAGACCCCCTTATGACCACCTGCACCGAAGCACCGAAGCCCGAGGCGAGGCGCGCGCGCGCGCGCGGGCGTTTTTGCGTTAACGTTGCAAACACAGCGCGAGCTTCTCGTCGAAAGCCTTCTGGACCAGCCGAAGACGCGGTCCCGGTGCTAGGAGCGCTTCGGGCAAGGAGGACCTCCACTCAAAGCTCCACATGATGCTGGCGAAGTTCGAGGACTTGCTTCTGAATGGCTTAGAAACGGAAGGCAGGCAAATTCGCGGCGCCTGGCCACCAAGGACCACATCCTTCTCTGCCTCAATGACCTTGGCCTTGCAAAGGGCAGACACCAACAAGGCAAAATGCAGATGGGGAATGTCAAGTCCTCGGCCTGCATTGAAGACAGCTTCCGTGCAAACTCGACGGATGTTTCCCGAAGCTTCTCCTTGAAAGAGACTAGAGATGCAACAGAATCAAGAAACAATATCTCAAGAAGCATCAAAATATCAAAAGCTAGGGTGGTTCCAAGCCCGTTTGCGCAGCTCAGTTGTTCAAAACAGGGTCGCAACTTGACTTCTCAGCCGCGGCGCCTCAGCAGCGGCGCGCGCCTGGCGCTCGCGCTCCAACTCCAGCTGAAGACGGGCGTTCTCCTGCCATAAGCGCAGGTGCACTAAGGTTTCCCATGCCATGGGTTTCCCAGGTCATTCATCAGGGCTTTGGTCTCTAATCATTGCGGCTTAATGTACGCACAGGAAACAACTCCTGCCATCTAAAGCAGCCTGAAGGTGGAAGAATGCCGTTGTCAACAGCTTTTCTTGTCAGGCCTCCTGGGCGGCTGCAAGCTGCGCACGCTGCGCCTCCGGCAATATGCAAGTGCCAAGGCGCATCAAGTGACACCCGCGCCAGGTCAGTCTTGCTGCCCTGCCTCCACGACTTCCAGTGCAGTCGCAAGGGCTGTCCTAGGCACAACTCTTGCACGCCTGTCTTCTTGTCCATAGACTCACACCGTCAAACCATCCTGCAGTGAGCGGGACCGCCCAAGTCGCCAACTCAAGCTTTCCAGCAGCATTGCTGTCCATCTAGTGGGCGATGGGACTCATCTGACACGCAGAGCAAGTAACACATCACGAGAGACACCAGAGCATACCAGGTGCACAGATCATGCAAACATGTGCACAGAACGGAGGCCTGGCGTGTAACGGTGGGGCATCTGGCCGCTGCCATCATGCACGAGGCTTTCACCATGATTTCACAGCTCAGGCAGCATGTGAAGCAAGATCATTTTTGCCTATGGGATGTGGTAGACTGACTGAAGTCTTTCTCTGTGCTGGATCGAGCGTACTTCATGCCATGTGTACCAGTCTCAGAGCAATCAGCATGACACCACGCATGACTGCCCAGACTAACTCACGAAATCCTCATAATCGTACTCAAAACGGTTCTAAGCCAGTCGCCCACTGCCACTTCCGCTGCGCAGCATCTGAAATGCCTTTCACGACAAAATGAAACGAGGCGCTGCTGATAATCTCCTGGCAGCATGCCTCCCAGAGTAGCTTCACACCGAAGTACACGAAGAGCGCAACAGCTGCCCAATGCGTGTACCTTTTGCCGATACTCCACTCAGGTTGCAGACGGTCTCAAAGGACTGTGGTTGCCAAGGATTGCTTGCTGAGCTTCTTGCTTTCGTGGCATCAACTTCGGTAGGACCAATCCGATAGTGGCACTCAGGGCCTAGGACACAGGTTTCGTTCCCAAGTTCAGATCCTCACAGTGACAGAACACCATGTCAAAGGGATTCTGGAGACTACTTGGAGGTACAACCATATTTACCCTACGTACAACGCCACTTAGAAGTACCCTTCTGAACCTCCAGGAATCCTGAGCCCCCCTAAACCCTAAACCCTAAACCCTCAACCCTAAACCCTAAAGTGCTTAAGACGATCTGAGCCGCCCGCAGTCATGGCTGCAAGCGCTCCGGCTGAGCCGAAGAAGACTGCCAGCCTGTCCTTCCAGCCACTGGACGGAAGGCATTCGCGTAGAGTTTGGGGTTTAGGGCTTAGGGTTTAGGATGTAGGGTTTAGGGTTTCGGGTTTAGGGCTTATGGTTTGGGGTTTGGGGTTTGGGGTTTGGGGGTTTAGGGTTTGGGGGGTTTAGGGTTTTGGGGTTTTTGGGTTTTGGGTTGATCCTCGAAAGATGCAAGACACATGGTCAAGCTTGGGTCAGCGCGTGTCTCATTGCAAGCAGCGCTGCAATGAAGAACGTCTTGTCACCTTTGACATGCAAGCAAGGCACAGCAAAGCATGGCAAAGCCATGCTTTCTACAAGCCATCCGAGAAGGCAGAATGGCACAGGGCAGCTGCAGAACTCCTGCTCAGTGTACCTCTGAGTGCTCCTGGACTACGGCCGACTCATCCCTGCGCGCGCTGCCTTTTTGCACTCGCGGCTGTCTGAATCAGACGCGGCGGTGCTGCCCCATCACCCACCGTCTGCATGTGACATGGCCAAGGTTCACGAGGTGGGTGCATACATGTCGCGTGATCTAAACCTAGACTCCTACTCGCGTTCCTGCTTCACGACATTCAAGGCCACGATTCCCGGCACACCAATGCCCAATGCTGAAACAGCCGGCCACGCCAGCCACGTGTGCATGAACTGTCGTCACCAACCGCTGAAACGTCTCCAGCGCCCTTGTTGAGAGGCCCTGGTTCTTCATCCCAGGTCCCTGCATGGACAAGCCTGATGCAAGCGGCCCGTGGCTGAGACGACCGCATTGCAGCGTTGCGATGAGTTGCATGCTGTCTGGCGCCAGGCAAACCGCGCCGTCCTCACGTGACCATTCGCAGCTTGTTTCGGGAGTTCCAAGAGCTCGCCCTCTCGAAACCGTTCTGATCACACTGGTAGTCCAACATGGACTGGCGAATCTGCCTGGGAATAGCGTGGCTTTTTGACTGCTTCAGAGCGAATGCAGTGGCAATCACATGATGGACGATCTCAGCGCCAGACTCTTCACTACACATGACCTCAGCTGCGGCGTTGTCTTTTGCCCTGCCACTTGGCTCAGGTCCCCCCTCCCAAGTGCGGGCGAGGGACGAAGGGGCCCTGCCACACCACGGGCTCACGCAAAGGCTTGGCCGCACAAAGGAAGAAGGAGGCTTCGGAAGATTGGGTGCGAACGGTCACGCCTGGGTGGCTCAACAGAGACTTTCAAGCCCAGCATGCGAGGGGGTTTCCGAAAAATGGGGGGGGGGGTACCCGTTTTGGGGGGTTCCTATACTAAGGATTCTAGCATTTTGGGGTATCTTAAGGGGTACCCTTTGTTTTTGGAAGTGCCCATGAGTCGCCAGGGAGCCATCTTCTCCTGCGGCGGCACTGAGGATAAGGCAGTGGTGAGCATCTGCAACCACATCCGCCACCACCACTCCACCAGCAAGCGTGTAGATAAACGCAGTGTGGCCCTCTGGAATTGGCCTGGGGTGTTTTTGTCTTCCTGTAAGAGAATTTGCCGGAAATCACACGCCGAAAACAAACCCAGTAATGGAGAGAGGGCAAAGAGAACCCTGGAAAACCATAAAACTCACCCAACAACAACCATGAATCCTTTTTCACGGCGGCCCTTACAAGCCAACGAAAAGAATAACAGTGCGCTGAGTTCGTCTGGGGAAATTGGGCTGAACAAGCAAAAAACATCACCAATGATACAATGTCTCCCGCCGGTGTCTGGGGAGCAGAAAGCATGTGCCCCACCTCTAATCCCCCCTCTACCCCCCGCACCCTTTCCCTCCGGCAAACCCCGGGTTTAGCACCCCAAGCCGAGCCGACCCTACCTGACTCCCAAGCTTGGATTGAGGCGTTTGGCTTGAGGGGTTAAAGTTTAGAGTTTGATTTAGCGAAAACTCCCTAAACTCTAGACCCTAAACCCTGAACCCTGCACACTACGAAGCCCGCAACCCCATGGAGCCTGACGAACCGAACCTTGCCTCGCCACCGTATAGGCGAAAGTCCCCGGCCAAAGGGTCACGTAGCGTTAGAACTAATATCGTTTTCTGCGGTCGCTTCTCTCGCTCCCCCAAACTTATCAGCCAATGAAATGAATTTATAGCGCCGTTTAGTACATCTACTGTACCTCCTTTTCTTTCCAATGTATCCGCGTTCGCTCTCTTTCTTGTGCTCCTGAAGAATCCCAGAGATGCGAGGTGCTGGTCCTCAAATGCCAGACAGGCGACTGGTGGAGTACCGCACCCGGCTCCATGGTGTAGTGGACCCTTGCCCAGGGCGCTTGTCTCGAAAAACTCGAAGTCCAATCTGCGAAGAACAGAACATGAAAAAAGGACCAAAGCGATCCACCATCCGGGACAAGCAGCACCAACTCAGGGCCATGATTCGGACCATCTTGATGATGCCCCAAGGCCTAGCATCGTAGTCATGTTCGCAACATGTGTGGGACTGTGGGAAGGCTCGCATCCTCGGCCTGCCTTTCAACCATCATGGCACACGCACAGAGGCGCGCTAGCTATGGAGGTCAAGACGTGCAGTTTCTCGCTGCTCAGCTTCACGTGCTTCACTCGCGTAACACAAGCAAGGCCTCATTACAAAGATGAGCCAGAACCAGCCTTTATGTTGTGGGTTCATTGGATGAGAATGTTCCTTCTGCAAAGATAGGCGTAACGTTGATCTTGAAACGGAGACCTGCCCCGTTTATACCGGCAACCGTAGACGAGAGTGGGTACCATCTTGGGAACTGACTTTTGCTTTCCTGGTACCCCTTTTGTCTAAGGGTAGTCACATGGTCCCTGAGTATGGGCCCTTACAGGTCCCTGAGTATGGGCCCTTACAAGGAGACCCCTTCTAGACCCCTTATGTACCCTCTGCAAATTAAGGGCCCATACTTCAGAACCCTTCAAAAAAAGAGGCAAGGGACCATATTAAGGCCCCATGAAGCTGCGCTTAGATCTTGGCAGCGGATGCAGGCCTCTCCGGCTAGGACAGCGGCCTTGACACCTGCACGGAGCATCTCAGAAAGACAGAGAAGTGGAATTTTCCTTCAGCAAGAAGCCTACAAAACGCACAGTCCTGCTCTTCTAGCGATTCGAGCAGCCCTCCCTGCAAAAAAATCCTCAAACAAAAAGCAACCTCCTCAAGATCCTTTTGGCTTCTTTTGAAACGCTGCATTCCCCACACCTGCGGTGGCTGCGCGCAGCTGCCGGGCCCGAGGCAGCTCCAGGTACCTTGCAGCGACAGAAGGGGGGGCGGGGAATGGATACTTGAAGCAGCGCTGAGATTCTCATGTACACAATAGTTGTTACAAAAAAGAATTGCCCGGTTTCGTTGTTATCATTTTTGCTAACTGTAAAACAAACTACAACAGGTCCAGACAATAGTTGTTGCGATTGCTACTGACATGTTCCCAACCTCAAGCGCACGCTTTTGGGACTCTTAAAGTCAAATCCTCGTGCGACTGCGCATACAAGCTCACAGGACCACATTCAAACGGTTTATAAGACACAAGCCACAACACGTCCAGGGATGTCAGGTCTTATGTGTCCCCGACCCCCCCGACCGCTTTCAGGGCCGGGGGGGGTGCCGGCCGGGACATCAAGCATGGACCTTGTCTGCTTCTCAAATGCGGGGCAAGCCACTCAGGAGCAGCCATTTTCTCCTGCACCATTCTGGGCCAACTGAATCTGGGAAAATCACACAAATCACAGGGACAAACCTGGAACAAGCCAACGCTAGCTGGACCCGACCTTCTCAGGCAAGTTGATCCACATCTGAAGCCCCCGGGCGAAGAAACTGCTGGCAGGCACCTACACAGTGATGCCACACAGTGAAGCACCAAAAAGGCTCCTGATCTTCCCTCAGCTCTGGCAGCAACAACTGCCTCAGAGTGTAGGATCCCACGTCCACAGGTCATCCACTGCGCGTCACCTGGATGAAGAGTGCCTGCATTGCCTGACATCCGGGCAACCTGCTTCTGAGAACATGAAGACGCGATGAGCCCCTCAGTCTCGAAGCCCTGCCTAGAAAGTCTTCGTGCGTGAGTCCCCCCGGGGACGATGGCAGCAAATAGGTCAGCGTGATGAAGCCGCGGTGGGCGTGATCCGGGAATCCGTCCGGCAAGGCGACCGTGAAGTCCTTTTGTCCAACATAAGAGTCCAGGCGTTTTCCAATGCTTGACACAAGGTCACTTTCAAAAACAGCAAACGCATGGAAGTGTAGAATTTACTCAGGCTCCAGCATCCAGGGCCAGGATTGGGTCCAAGTGAGCTGAATCCTCTACTGCCCATAACTTAAACTCATTTATTGAGAGAGATGGTAAAAATGACGGTTAATTAATAATTTTGAGGACAATTTGACTGTAAGTAAAAAGGCGAGCTCGACGTCCTCAGAGTGTGGGTGTATTGGCCGCCTCACATCGGTTGTGCCGCCGCCCGACTGCTCATGCGCAAAGGCGCTACGCAGGACCTGCCTCAGGGCTGAGCTGTCGAGTGAAACAAACTTTGGAAACTTTTTAGACCACCGCAGTTCCTGGATTTGGCGGGTGCATCTGGCATCTTGCCAGGTATCCAGACATCATCCGGTGGATCCTCAACCTTCCATCAAGCTTGCGGCAGAAGGTTCAGGTATACGTCCCTATACAGATCAAGCGCTCCCCTTGCTCGCCTCGTCATTCGGTGGAGAACCACGACTCACACGACTGAGCTTGGGAAGACACCACCTGCACCCAGAAGAGCATGAGCTTATTTTCTCGCGTCGTGCAGCAGCAGGCTGGAAGTCTCCGTGAACATCTGAGACATGCGCATTCAGTACAAGAGCAGGCTTCCATGCCAATGTCGGCCACTTGGTGCATCCATCGTCTGGAATTGAAAACCCCTTCTCTTCTTGCAAAGCTGCAAGGCCTTTGAATGAAAACCCGAGCTGTTGAAGACAGTCCCACACACGAAAAGCGCATGAGTGAGTTGCAAGAGCGTGGACACGATGGTCAGCTTGAGCCGTCATACCAAAGGTTGGACTAGACCGCCAAACATCAATCAAACATTCATGAAACGAACATTCATGAAAGCAAAGCCCGACACACGGAACGAGACAGTTTAGCTCCGAGGGCAGGGCCAAGCTCAGTGACCAAGATCATCAGGAAACTGTTGCTGAAAGCCTGGCCGCCGCACTTCACACAGCAAAACTGCTTCGAAATGCCTTAGAGGCCCTCTGAACCTGTCGCCCTCGCCTCCTGCAGCGTTCCCAGCTCAGCCAAGTCGCTGGCCATGTCGAGTGCTGTGGAGTTCCTTGAAGAAACGGGACAGCAGAACGAAGAATTTCAGGACAGCTCGGGGGGGATAATGCTGAGGGCGTACCCTTCCTAAGCACAACTGTGTACTTTTGGCAGGCGCTCGTGCTCTTGCCGGCTCTTTCGAATATGCTTTGCATCTGCATCTTCTGTTGATGCTGAAGCACAAGTTAAGATAGTTTGTTCGCGCTGAGCCCCGCACACCGCCATACAGCCTGATACAGCCTGCAAGGGGTCACAGCTTCGGTTCTCAAGAAATCAAAGTTGCATCATCCATGCAGTGATGTGCTGATGGGAACAATAGAAGCGACTCTGCTCATTCACTCTATTCACTCTGAGAAAACTCTCGCTCATGATCGGCCTCCTGAGCGCGTAGCCACGAAACAAAACCTACACACTAGACCCTGGCTGGGAGCTCTGGATAGGCTCTGGCTGCAGACACATGCAAGAATCATGGTGTCCAAGGTCAAACATATTATGTAATAGAATAGAATAGAATAGAACAGAATAGAATAGAATGCATCATGCAATAGCCTAAAAACCAGGGACTTAAGCAAGCCGGGTGGCTTTGGCAGCTGAAAAGAGGGCTTTCTGTCATTCACACGACAGCCGGGGTCTCAAGCCAGAGGAGTGCAGCTTTCGGCACTCAGCTACCTGAAGCCTACACCTTTGCACAAAGGGCTAAGAGTAACGACGAAAGGCTTAAAGGGCTAATTCAGCGGCAACTCGTGTGACTGCCGCATTCCAGTAGCTGAGGAGTTTGCTCCTGCAGCACTCACCGCCTCAGCAGTTTGAACTGCTCGCTTTATCTCCTCTTCCTGAAAATAGTCGTAGATCTTTTTGGCCAGATCCTGAGACAGGAGCGGCACGCTCCGCACCCTGCAGCACCCGGAACCCCACAGCAGAGATCCGGCATCCTCCAGCTCGTCCAAGCTGGGATTTTGGACCATGCCTCCTCGGAACACCACACTTTGGCACTTTGGGCACTACTTTGTAGGAATCTTCAGAGTACACAAAATGTACATTGAATGCGGACACATGCGACCCTGCGGTGAGGGCAGCACGGTGGAACTCCATGAAATTCTGCCGGATGAGCTGGCGCCGCTCTCCGGGTTGGACCTGTGCACTGTGAAAGGCAGGTTGCAAGCCCTGCTCACATCTGCGGCACACCAGCAACCAGAAACCTCTCCGGCACGTCCAACCTTCTCCAGGTACTGATCGAAGTCATGCCAAAAGCCTTGGCTTTAAGGACTTGGGGGACCGACATCCTTCTGCTTTCGCATGAGCAGGTTGTAACCAGGTTGTGGTTGCACGCTCTGAAACTTCGCTTGGCAGCGATCTGCTTCGTTTTTCAGATCCACCTGGCATTTAGGGAGTCGTTAAAGTGTCAAGTCAAAGGCTGCCCATACCATGAATGCTACCCTTACGATCAGGAATTGGGTGTCCAGCAACCCGCAAAAAAAGAATAGCTACCTTGGCTGATATCATGCCTAGAATATGCTACAACTATACACCCCGCCACAGCCTGCTACCTCTCACACTCTTGGCGGCAATGTGCTTACCATGACTAGCAGTCACTACAGACCCAGCCGAAGTCCGAACAGAACTCAAGCCTGATCGTCCACACTCTTTCAGCCTGTGAAACGCTTTTGCGTCAATCCAGCGGATCCTCACCCAGCGACCGAAGTAACGCCTGTGGCGACTGCCTGGGAAGGGGCCTCCGCCCTGAAGTACCGCACTGATGCCGCTTGGAGGCCTTGTCCCTCCACAAAAATTTGCGTTTGCATCTAGTGCCTGAAAGCCTCACTGCAGAAGCTCCTGAACAAGGTTCAGGAGCCATTCAGAGGAGACGATCTTTAGATGCTCATCATGACAACCTTGAGGGGCACCATGGAGAAAGACCGTCGCACCTTTCGCGACCCATCCGGCATGCAATCTCTCAGTGCTGTCCGCAGTCACCGTTCCATCGCCTGGAACGTATTCTGTCACCTTGGGAATGTCTTGAAAGTCGTTGCTTTGGAAGGTGAGCTGGTTGATTGTGTCCAGATTCCTGCCATACAGGAAATGTGTAGGGACAGCCGGCGGCACAAGGTGTGCCCAGGTCTCCAAGGCATAGGGGAAGAAGTCGAATCGAGCAGCATTTCGGCCCAAGGATTTCTTCATGTCTCCCAGAAACTCAGGTACCTCCTGGGCTGTGTAACCTCGTGCAGGTGTCACGACGATCTGATGGCTTCTGTCAAAGGCCTCAACATCTCCGACTGTTAGGGGAAGCAAACACCCCATGGCAGGGGAGCAGATGGTGGCCTTCTTCCAGAAATTCTCGACCGCTTCGGGCAAGGTGCCCAGGCCGGAGAGAATGCCAATGGGGTTGTGACAGTATGCAGAGCAACCTTTGGGGCAGCCCATGATGACTGGGGTAATGAAGATCACTTTATCCACGTGCTTCTGCTGCCAGGTGCTGCCCATGCAGCTCAGCACATACAGAAGCACTGAACAGCCCATGGAGTGGCCAATCAGCGTCACCGGCTGCTTCGTCAGCGCGAACTCTTCCTCCACCTGCCGTGCCAGGGATTCTGCATAGCACTCCATGAAGCTTAAGTCCCCCCACCGCCGCCAGTCATAGTTTGCAGACTGAAGGCGATAGCTGTCCACGAGCTTCTCGATGAGCTCGTAAAGCACGGGAACCATCACTTCTTCGGCAGGGTTGATCGCGGCGATTCCATCTAAGCCAGGATAAGGCTGAACCTCAACCCCGTCTTGCTCCTTCGTGACGAAGACTCGACGCCCACTCTTCAGCATGCCCTCCACTTGCTCCAGTTCCAGGGTATTCCGTAGAAGCTCAGGGGATGTGGCTATCGCCTCTATGGACGCCCATGCCAGGTTCCAGCCCGGACCTCGGCAGCACGGGAGGTAACAACCCGCGTCGGTTCCTGGCAAGATCCGGTTTTGCAGCGCACACGCAGCAATCCCGTGCGTGATGATCACTGTCTTCTTGCCTGTCTGTGCCCGTGCATTGTAGCTCGTATCATAGCAGCACTTGGCAACGAAGTTCACGCCACCCATTACGAGACCTACTTGCTCAGGTGTAAGCTGTAAGCTGCCAGGTGTGCCTCTACTCCCCCTTGGCTGTGCTGCTGAGACTTTGGACTTTGCAGATGCTGTTCTACTTGGACTGAAACGATTCCATTGAGCCCCTGCGCAGAAGCACAAAACAAAGTAGCTGCTGTCCACACTACTACATGTAAAGAGCACGCCCAGGGGTGCATCCAGCCTTTACACCGCCAAGTTCCACTTGTCGGGCCATCAGATGCCCGAATCTGTCGACCCAGGGACGACAGGATGACAGGAAGACCCTGGAGCCACACTCTCGCGTGCGCAGGTTCTGCAAAACTGCGCCCCATTCACGCGACAATCCAGGCTCAACAGTCAAAGGAGGCCCACGCACAGGCTGCCACAAGCAGCAGCAGCCTTTTCCTCTCACACTCCTGCATCCCTACCGAACCACGACAAGTCATCCTGTCTCACAGCTTCAACCCCAAGGTCTTTAAGGCGACCCAGTGACTTGTCATGCTTCCCTACGGTCTCGCCAGCCATTTGGCAGCGACACCCTGTCTTTGCTCCGCGGCAAATTCAGTGCCAGAACGAAGCTGATCTGAGAGGTGTATCATGAGATGACGATGTGCACACACATGAAGCTCAAGCCTCCGGCACCGGAAAAATGTTGCCACGAAGCTCTGTAAAACTGCTTCAGGGCAGCAGCGCTGCGCTGGTTACTGCGTCGCGGCGCTTGCAAAGCGTCACGTCTCGGTTCAGCTGAGGCGGACAGCTCGAACATCTTAGGCACGATACAGACTAGTACACCCCCCCAATGATGTCAGACACTCAACCAGCACGCAATAACGGATGGGGAAACAAGCGATCCAGCCAAATGGCGGCTGGTTGCTCACCTTCTAATCAGCACGAGGGCGCTACCAGAGTTGGATTCGGAAAACATTCTTGCCCGCGCGATGCACCTTTTGGCCCTGTTGAGGGAAAGGGTATCAGCAACCAGTCAGAGCACTGGCGACTCTCAGATTGCCACTCTGACAACTCCTGGGTGGAGAAGAGAGCATCATGAACTCAAGACATGACACGCAGTGGACTCAAGATCAAAGTTGAACTGGGCATAATGTGCGCAAGACACGTGCAGCCCGTCCTAATGGCCCTCAACTCTTTTGAGGATCCTTGCAAATCGCACGCCAACATTGCGCAACTCTTCCACGGTGTGACAGCTCTTGCGATAAGCTTTGACAAACACATGCGACATGGACAGCTCTTCAGATGTCAAGCCCCTCGTGATTGCGTGCAGACTGCAAGCTAATGACTCCGCTTCGAGGCCTCTTTGTCAAAAATGTGCACTCGCACAAAACCGTCCTGGCGAAATGAATGTTGCAGCGTCGTGGGGCTCAAGGTGGGGATGGTAGGGTTCCACCTTGAGCACCTTGAGCCCAAAACACGATCTTCTCCCGATGCTATCACTATACTGCCGCCAGATCATCTACAGGGGATCCGGGGAGGACAGCCCCGGCAGGTCCTCGGAGCCCGAGGCAATTGCAGACCCGTCGCCCGCAAAGGCCAGGGTGTGGACCTGGCCACCGGGCCTCTCTTGGGGTCACTCGGGTTTCAGGGTTTAGGGTTTAGGGGAGCTGAGCCATGAGAAGCGCATTCAGAAGAACACAAACTTCGGACTTCGGCATTGATGCCGCAGGAGTTCGAGGGTTCGCAGCTCAAGCGCAATTCAAGGGAAACATCGGGAAGCTCATGAGCTCACGCCGGGACGACCGGACCAAAGTGACCTTTGTTGGTGACTCCGTCCGCCTCGTCGAGGTCAGAACAAGATCCACGGGGAGATCCAGGAGATCCCAAACAAGGCTCTTGCAGATTATATGGCTTCTAACTTCTGTTGCTACAGAGCCTTTTTCATAGGAGCTGTTCCCGATGTGAGGCCTTCAGGTCACAGGGCACTTTCTCGGCCATGCCCAGACGGAAGAGCAGCGTCCCGAACTGCTCGGTGGCGCTGCTGCTCCGAGCAACGTCCCGCACATCCTGGCGCTTTTCGGGTTTGGGGTTTCAGGGCCCCGCATCACCTTAGATCCTCTTAGATGGGTTCGAGCACTTTCAGCCACGGGCGGGAAAGACATGTTTACATTCCAGACATGGTGACCGAGTGCCGGAGTCGTGTCGTCCTGGCCGCCGGCAGCCACCACGCAAACGCGCCCTGGCCGCTCGGCTGGAGCCTGGGACCACGCACCGGGCACTGCGGACCTCCTTCCCTCCAACACGCTCGCTTCTCGGAGGAAGTTTCGGCTTCGAATGAGATGCACACAGACTCGGCACTCTGAATGAGCTACCTTTCTGCCGAGGCCGTGACGCCCAGCGCGGCCTTCTGCGGCAGCGGGCCCAGCGCCACGGCGTTCAGTGGCCGGTCCTCGGGGCTTCGTGCCAAGCCACTTCCGCTTCTTTCTTTTCCCCCAGATCTTTCGACAGCTTCCCACAGGTTCCCACAGGTTCTCACAGGCCCGGCTGCAGGGAGCTTGGCACCTGAGAATCTGACCGTCTGCGCCTTGTACAACATCTTCCAGTCGCTTCCTTTGACATTTTCGGCGTGGTGCTAAACTGAAAGCTGCCCCTGGCTTGCTTTCTACATGTTTCTACATGTTTTGAGTCGTCTGTGAGCCATCTAGAGGACGAGGCCTGGCCTTTGCCGATGTCCCATATGCAGACGCTCATGTCCTCGGGTTCTGCATTGTATCTCACTATTCTCACCAATTCTAACCCCAGTTCCCCCCGACATGATGTCGCCACGCACTTGACTGCTCGGCTGACATGGCACTCAGGAGCACACGTGCGAGACGGTAGCCACAAGCTCGCGGTCATCATTGAAGTCAAACTTGGAGATGCCCGCATCATGTGCCTCTCGAGGCGGCTCATGACGTAGGCTGTTGAACACACCCTTGCGTCGAAGCATCTTGTCTGTGTGCAGCACTTGGCTGGCCTTCAGCCGCTTCACTTCAGCACCAGTGTCTGCTCGCCAAAAGATTAGTTCACCTGACAAGAAGAGTTACTTACCTGCAACCGCATATGACTCAACTTCATCGATCCACATCCGCTTCCGTACTTCGGAGAGTAAGAGAATCACCGCTGTCGTGTGCACTTGCGATGAAGTAGTTGGCTCTGCCCCATCTCACCTGGCGGGTGTGCGAAGCAGGCTTGAAGATGAAGATCCAGCTGATCTGCTGTAAACTCAGTTTAACAAATATGACAGCAATAAAAGCATTCGCTTGGTATAGTTTCACTCAGCACGCCTTTCATATGGGCACTCTTCGTGACTTCCTCTGTCGGAGCATTGAGTCAGCGCATGACTCGATCCGAATTTCGTCTGTCTCTCGTTTATACGAGTGGCTTGGATTGGTTTGGCTTGGCTGGGCGATGGCTTGCGATGCCAGACCGCCCGCAACACCAAACCCGCTGAATGGCTCTGGGATCAATGACAAAGCGAGTAACATCCTTGTTTTGAGGGCAGTGCAAAACGAACAAACCTCAAAGAATCCTTTCAGCTTGTGCGTGAAGCATTTTGCGTCTTTGTTGATGACGAAAACCAACACTTTTGATTCACAGGATTTGTGCATCAAACACAGACACGTCGGAAGTCTGCGCCAGAAGAGGCATGGAGGAGAAGGCAACCGTTGAAGCTCATCGCTCATCACTAACAGGCACAAAGACGAAGACACTTCGCTAAAAAAAGAGGCACCCTTCTCACGCAGACGCGACAAGATGATGGGGTTACATGGTGCAAGACGTGGACCGGAGGATGCACCTTTGCATCTGCTGAGTTAAACTTCGTTAAGATCCTTAACCGTTATCGATGTTATCGGATTCAGGCAAGCTCACACTTCTGCAATTGCACGGCTCTTTGGATGAACAGAGAGATGCTGCTCTAGAACCTCATCATGACTCACTGCAGAGTGGCTCCGGCTCCATCCCACTAGTGCCGCTAGTGATCACAGCCTGGAGCGCTGCGGAGGGCAGCTTGGAGATGACCCGCAACTCCTGGCAAATGAAGAAATGCCCTCTACCCTGCCCCCCACCCTGCGCCCTACCACATTGATCCACATTGCACCTTCCATCGGGGCTTGGGAGGCTACAGTGGTGTTCCACTTTGAACTCAATGACCCGGCTCATGTCAATGTGCTCTAGCATTCGATGGTGGGGAAGGGCCTGGATGGATTTGCCATCGAAGCGCCAAACCTGAGCACGGAAGGCGGCCAGGACCAACCCAGAGTCCCCAAGCCCGCATCGTACCAAGCACTGCGCTGTCAACGCAGGGGGGTGTGCTCCAAAGCGGTTGTGTGCTGTCCTTGGCCACCATGGAGCGTTTTTGCAGAAGAGGTGTGAGCACAGAAAACAGAACAGACCTTCCCTCCGCGTGTTCTATCATGATCACGATCCTGCCGGTAAGGCAAGGGCACGAAGCGCTCGCTGACGTCCGAGGCATTGACACCAGGAGCTGAGAAAGGAACAGGAGCGAGGAAGATCAAACAATGGCAAAAAGGTGTGAAAGGCTCAACATGTCCTTTGACAAGTCTTTAGAAGACCTGGCCTGCTCCAGCCCATTCTACACATCGCACGACACCGGGAAGCTCAACTTGGGCAAGTTCCCTCGGACATCGTGGCACCGTGGGACGAGAACATCTCTTTGCAGAGATATCTGCTACTAAACGTCAGGGTGCTCACAAGGGCAACGCATTCTGGCACATCAAGGCATTCGCTAGACTGGGGTGCGTGCCTCGAGGTGTGAGCCTCCCACACAATGACGAGCCGGTCCGCACCGCAAGTCACCAGCCACCTGCAGAGACAATTTGCACCACAGGCATCACTGGCATCAAAGACGGATTGTTCTTGTTGTTCTCCAAGAATATTCGGGTGTCTACGACTATCCCTTTCCATTCTGATTTCGCATGCGCCCTCGTTTCTCGACTCGCCGCTTCATCCTTGAGCTGCCCATCTTCGGAGACTCTCGCGAAGCTCGTCATGGGCCTCTGCTCAAACATGAGAGCGTAGCCCCAGGTGGTACAAACCAAGTGCTGGGGTGTCAAAGCCTTCACCTGGCCCTTCACTGCAGTTGTGACGGCCAGCAGCAGCTTGGGATCCTCGTGCTTCAGCTGGGCGTAGGACCACACCGTGTTGGACAAGTCCTGGGGTTTGAAGTCGTCGATTCTCTCCAGCGCATAGCCAGTGAAGCAGTGTAAGAGCCGCTGATCATGGTGGCTTGTCTCAGCCATGGCCCAGATGCAGTTCACGGCTGCCTGAACGCTGTACTCCCTGTACTCCCTTGGCCCGTCCACAATCGAATCTGCTGCGGCCAGAAACAAGTCTGGCTCGTAACACGTGGCCTTTGCAAAAGCCCAGAGGGTGTTGGATATGTTCTGAGGGGAAAATTGTCCAAGCTTTGACTTGGTTGCCTCGGCCATGTCTGTGTACAGAGCGTGATCTGCGTGAAGCCGGAGCTTGGCAAAGGCCCAGACAGTATTTGCCAAGCCTTGAGGCATAAATCCAGATATGCAGACTCGTGAGGACTCCGCAAGTGTGAGTTGCAGCTTCGAGTTTCGAACCTCAGCTGTTGCAAAGGCCCAGATGGTGTTCGCCAGACCTTGCGCTTGGAACTGTGGGGCTGTGCTGGTCACAGCCTCAGCCATCACCTGGAAAAGATGCGAATCCGCGTGATGGAATTTGGCGAAAGCCCACACAGCCTTTGATAGCTCTGTAGGAGTCAGCTGACTAGTCTGGATGTAGAGCGATTGCGCAAGCGCCTGCAGCAATCCTTCCAGACATGGCATGCTCAGCAGAGGACTCAACAGGCTCAAGGCCTGGTGGCCATTTGGGTCTTTAGGCCCCCTCCGGTCCTTCGTCTCGATGTCGCAGCTTTGCCATGGACCAGGCCACATCGGCAACGCCACGCGCTCCCAATTCGCCGAGCTTCCTCCGGACGGAAGAGGACAAGGTCTCCAAGATCTCGGGCTGCAACGACCTTGCCAAGGCAATCACACTTCGGATTTCAGCTCCGTCGGCGCACTCTGACCCTTCCCACCTTGTTCTGGCAAACGTCCATGGCAGCTTCGTGAGCCAACGCACAGGGAGCTCGTCACCTGATCAACTGATCAAGTAATGGCAGCGAGCTGCATCTCGATAAGGCTAGCTTGGTTCTCAACGGCACACGGGACCTGAGCACACAGCGATGGTGCACCCTCCCGCTCTGCACTGAGTGGGTGCTGCGATACGGATACTCGGACCAAGACAACTCAGAGATTTTGGATGTATGATTAGGCATGCTGCATGCTTATTAGTACTAGATATTGCAAGTACAATCATCCGCAGTGATGTTCTCTGTTTCTCAGGCTAAGTACAGCAATTTGAACCAATGAGTTTAGGGTTCACCTCCCCACTGCGACACCCTACCGAAAACACTTCTCAATGATGGACATTCGGTTCATGGTCTTCTGCCGGGAACTCAACAACAAACAGCTAGAGGACCTGAGCCCAGTTCCCTGGTCTTACTTCCGTAGTTTGACGCAGAATGCAAACCATCCTGTGCAACGGTGACAACAACAAGATGCACATGTGCGTGTCCATCTGTGCGCACGCGTGCGCATTTTTTATGCCTTTGGAATCCCCAAGGCAAAGCACTGCTCTGGAACCAGGTGCAACGGAGACTGAACTGTGGATGCCCTAAACCCTATCTCCTTTGCTGAGGCACAGCGGCGAAGCACTATGCCCGAAACAGCACGCCACGTGTCGGGATCCTTCACCTTCGCACTGGCCAGAGTGGAGGTGAGAGCAGCTGCCTTCACGAGTCACATTCCACTGCCGTGTGTTGCCGATGCCGTGTGATGCACCCGGGCCTCCTCTGCGGTTACGTGATAACCGTGCGCATCTAGGTGCGAGCCCAATAACTGCAGAAGATCCTTACTGATGCTCTTCAGTCTTCAGTGGCTCTTCAGTAGCCGGCTGCGGCTCTCAGTGGATCAGGTGCCAGGAAAATCCCAAGTTGTGGCCAAGTTGCTTCTCGGCCGCCGTGTGCCCGCAGTTTGGCAAGCAGCTGGGCTAAAGAGGCAGGGCGCAATGGAGATGGAAACATCTAGGTCAGGATCCGTCAGCGGAATCCTGTGAACAATTCAATCCAACAGTGCGCCATTCACGTGCATCTTGCCTGAAAGCTGTGTGCTACAAGGCTTCCATCTAGTGACAGCATTTGCCCACTAGGCCAGCGACGACTTGACTCGCAAGGAGGCCATTGGTGAGATATCTTGAAACATAGTTGGTGGTTCGTGTGCAAACGAGAGAGATCTCATGCGTTTTGCAAGGCTGACCGGCTTAACATCTAACCCTGAGCTGCGATGCCCTGCTCTGATCTGCTCTGGGACCTTGTTGGTGTGTGTTGGCTAGACGCTGTGAAACACGCGTCTTCGGGCAAGCTGCGTGCTTGAGCCAAATGCAGCACCGGCCGGGCTGTCAGGGGCTGTCGAAGTGAGATGGAGAGAGCTCATCGAGGCCTCGAGTCGAAGGTGGTGCTGCAGGACCACACCTGGCTCACAGCTTCAATGTTCAGTATATCAGAGTATACCTGCCAGGTACATCAGCTGTATCCCCACAGAGCACAATTTAAAATGCGCCAGCATGACGGCTCCGTTGTGGCCTTTGTAGCTGCCCAGAAGCTCTCCATCTGGAAAGCTCCATACACAGACCAGCTTGTCCTCACTCAAACAAGGAAGTAGGAAGTATGGTCACAGCCTGTCGCCATTCCTCGACATCGCTGTGTAAAGCTCACTTTGAAGGCAAAAAATGGTCTGGTCCTTGCCGCAGGAGAACAGAAGGTTGCTCTCGCGGTTAAAGGTGATGAAGGTGACCTCAAGTGGCCATGCTCTGAGACCCATTGTAGCCGTTCATCGCAAGCTTCTCCGATGCCCCAACATTGCGACGGATGCACGAGATGCAGACTTGCGCACGTCGGCGGTGCGAAAGCTCACAAGATTATTTCTATGTATATGTACAGCATATATATATATACATATATATATATACATATGTACATATGGGCGAAGTAGTTCTTACAAATCATAGGCTAACTTCTCCTATTGCATTTATAACGAATGGTTGCATGAAGGACAGCTACTGGGACAACCGATGCGCGAAGTAGTTCTTACAAATCACAGGTTAACTTCTCCGATTGTGTTTATAGCGTTCCATTCATTCATTCATTAAATCAGCATAACACATGGCTCGTACACGAAGAAACTCGTACCGTTTTGTTCTTAGCAAGTATATACTCCCGAGCTTGTAAATGTAAAAAAAGTGAATCAGGCTGATTAGCATTATTGGAGGCCGACTATAGTTCTTAGAGTACTCGAATACTCTTTCAAGGCCAGGGAGTATGGGAAGAATATCAAGGACTGCTTTACATGTAGATTCCTAGCCCTAACTCTACGACTGAAGCTGAATGGCAACCAGTACAATTTGACCTCCAAGAGGGAACCAATATGATTGAGCGTATTGTTGTTATTCAGCTTACCTCGACCAGGCAGATGAATTCTTAGCAAGAAGCCATTGTTGTCAATACTAATTCGCAAAAGCAACTCCTAAACGCAACAAGCACAAGCAACATATCCTGTTTCATATACACACACACATATTAATTGCCCTGCATGTTCGCTTATACCAGTAGAAGAGTTCATTCGTCATCTTCTTTCCACTCTCCAGGTTGCACATGTAAATGGCTTACGGTAGGTCAAGTATCAGACATAGAACCTTGTGATTGCAGTGGCCAGGTATATTGGAACAGAATGAGGGACAGCTACTGGGACAATCGTGCTTTGCAAGGCTGGCACACTGCAAGCTGAGACAATCAGCTCCGATGATGGCAAAACAGGGGTCCATGCTGGCCGCTCGTGTCCATGGAGTGTAGGACCAGGTTGAGCATCGCGCCTTTGCGTAGTTTTGCGCAGCTCGCTTGAAACACAATAGGGAGGACAGGTCGTACGAGTCTTCTGTATCTTCCTGAAACCTCCCGTGCCAGAAGAGGAATCTCATGGCCATTAGGGTGTAATTGCATGTGGCTCGTAGCATACCATCAAAACAGCACACACTCTGGTTGATCTCCAGATGGAGGAAGAACAGCCTTGAGACAGATCAACCTCTGAAATAGTCCAAAGCTCTGGAACTTGCCATCATCCGTTCAGGCTGGCTTTAGCTGGTTTAGCAACTGGCTTTGTCTGTCCGTTCGGCCCAACCAGCACATTGACAATACGAATGAGGCAATGACCCTGCTTTGGCGGCGGCAACAACAGGCCGATCCGTCACGCCAGGATCTGCCTCTTCCTTAAAACTGTTTTCGCAAAAGTCTTCAGTTGAAACTGGGCATGATTGCAGGTGAGCAAAGTTCTTCCGAAAAGCGAAGTTGCTCATGACCATCATGGCTCCTGCATCTCCTGCTACCCCTGGTTGTTAGCTGCTACGCAGAGGTGGCCTGCTTTCCTGGCCCATTGAGGCCCCTGCCGAACACCGTTTCAGCTGGAGGGGCTCGCCACTTTTGCGTGGCTGCCACATTTCCTTCGGCTTTGAGACCTGGCTCAGTGAGCCCCAAGTTTTCATAATCAACTGCAGAGGCCTCACCTGAGAAGATGTTGTTGCGGACGCATCACCCATGAACCAACGCATGAACACCCTCCAGTCTAAGCTCTGCTTTCCAAATTGGCCCTTCTTGAAATTGCATATAAAAAGTCAGGGACCCACACCACACATCACACCTTTTCTACGATGGAGTCGAAGTCAGCTGCATCAGCGCTGGCAGCAACTCCCTTTCGCTGTCGGGTCGCCGTAGCATACCTGTGTGCAATAGGCACGAACTGACAGGTTTCATGGTATTGAACAACTCACCCAGTGCTACTCGCTTGGCCAGCTGGTGGTCGCACGGGTCCCGTCCTCAGACTGGCAACAAGCAAGAGGTCAAATCGACCCAACAACCGAAACAGGTTGGCCGGCCGTGGCTTTCAACGCAGCAATGCTGAGAGCATGGCTAGGCTGCAATCGGGAGACAGACCGGGCGTTGCCTCGAGACCTACATGGAGTCGGCACTCAAGCCCAACTTGTAGCTAGATGTAGCTAGTCTCCTAAGACAGCATGTGGCAGCACCCTTCACACACGCAGCATTCTCGGAATGCAAAGCACAACCCATAAAGGCTGCTCGCAGGACGTAGAACTTTCCCTGTGGAGCTGCGCACATGCCACGTGCTCACGTCTCTACTCGAATGGTCAGAAGACTGGCCACACACAGCCCTGACGAACTTCCTGTGCACCCTGCCTAAGGCCATTGGATCGCGCTCGCGCGTCTGATGCTTCTGCTTCATTCTCCTCTTCCTCCTCTTCCTCCTCCTGTCAATCAGAACGCATGGCTCGCGACCGGCTGCGGCTACATCAGCGAATAGCTTGCAGATCGGATCATGGTCAAATGTGCAGCAGCCAAAAATCGTGCGACGTGTCTGTGAGCTAAGCACGTGCATGTCGACAAACTAATGCATCTGCCACAGCGCCTGCTCTGATCTCTGCCGCACCAACCTTAGACTGAATCGAGTGTGCACTTCCCATTGCCTGAAAACCTTGCAACAGCCTTTGCAAAGATATGTCCGTCAGTCAACATGCGCTACGTAGAGCTGCCAGCAAGTTGATATAGCGACATAGCGCACCACAGTGCAGCAATGTTTGTTGCCATCATTACCTCTCGGTCGCGCCCGATCGTGCCCCTGACTTATTTCCAGCATGCAAAGGTGTACTTTTGTCGTGTCCGGGTAAGGCTCCAGCCAAGCCAAAAACAGCACCAACACTACGCGCAGGAGCCATCGGACCACGGTGGTCACCTGCACTGCAGGTCTTGATTGCGGCATACGGCCAACGCGGCACTTGCAAAAGACAGCTCACCATGCAATATGCGTCTGCCCTTATCAACGCTCTTCACCTCCGGCTTCTGGAAGTCATATCCGAGCATGCCAACCTTACACATACGGCTTCTTCGAAGAGAGGTCGAAAATGGAATAGCGACCTCTTCACACCTCACAGCGTAATCACAGAGCGCATCACGAACGGCAAGCTCTCGGGCGGAAGCACTAAAGCAAGCGGTGCTGCCGACGGCACATGGCCACGTGATCAAACAGTATCGCTGCAAGTCGTGAGAAGCTTGCATGTTCACACTGCTGTGCTGAATGAAAAAGTACGTGCTGCTAAGTTGCGCGACTCCTTGAGTATGATATGTCTATGGTCCTTTTGACAATGACCCTGCTGACCTTGCCATGCTATTGCTATGTTGTTGACATGTAGCAAACCAAGCCTTATTCATGTAAGCGAGCCTCATACCATGCAAGGAATGATTCTTGAAAACAAGGCAAGGTCGCATTGACACTCAATGCCATAGCCCAATCGTGGCGAGTGCCGCGGAGACTGCTGCTTACAAGACTTCTCTCGAAAACAGGCTCCAATAACAGCACCGTTCTCTCAAAGGTCGCTTCGGGTGCTTAGCGGTGACCCAACTCTGCCCAATCAGGTCTCAGTTCCGCCGACTGTGGGCTTCTTTGCTCATCAATCAGCAAGGGTCTGTCACAGAGTGAGCCATTTCGACGACAACATGTGATGTGCCTTGGGCGATACAACACAGGATTGTGGCGACATTCCAGAGCCGACGCCCAAGCGAAGACCATAAGAATGTCTCGCGATGCTTTTGATAGAATGCGAACCAGGGTGTGAATTCGGGATTGCAACACTGCAAACGTATTGCAACACTTTGAGCAGGACCTCGCATTGACAAATTGGAGCGTTTTGAAAATCGGTGTTTCAAGGTGTTGCTTGACAACGAATTCCAATGGAGACCGCCACAGCAAAGAGCTGAACAACGACCAAGTGACGCCTTAAAACGACGAAAATCGAACCCAAAAACCTTACCAGCTCCCCTTTCTAATCTAACCACGAGAAATTGCTCCCTCCTTGAGGCCTTTGCTGCTCACTTAGGTGGCGGGCCCATTCAGTAGGTGGCGCTGCACGTCCTCAACAACAGTCCCTTGCAATTGCAGTAGGGCGTCTTCGACCACATTGTAGCAACATGGCACCCTCAAAAAATGAAAGCCAACAGGATCACAAGGATGCTGTGTGTGCATTGGCAGTAGCTGCTAGACGTTCCTACGAGATAGCCATTGCTGACATCCGGACTGCCTTCCTTGATGCGGAGCCTTTATCGAGGGAAAGGGTCAAAGCTGAACGAGCCGCAGAAGCGGCTGCGCAGGGAGAGAGCGTGCCAATCAACGAAATTGTGACCTTAATCCCACCTCGTTGTTTGTTGCAGCGTGGCCTCCACGGAAAAAAGACACCCTGTGGCAAGTTGCCAAGGCCATCCAGGGCTTGGACACCAGTCCCAGAGATTCTGGTCGTTTGGGCGTGACAGCTCGCTGAGGCATTTAGTCGTGAAGTACTGAGGTCGAGAGCTCAAGTTGTATCAGTCGTATGCTGATCCCAACCTGTGGCTTAGAGTCCGGAGTTTCGGTGGGGTTGGATTGGAGTGTACATAGACGACCTGATCATCGCTGCTTGTGAGTTCGCAAACTGTAGTGGAAGACTATTACCACGCTGTGGAAGTGTGGAGAGCCAGAATGACGAACCGCGGAGTGCGCAAACCGTTGCGATTTGCGGGGTTGCAGTTGGCTTGGTCGTCTGAGCACAATTTGATGATCTGGCAAGGTTCTTATCCCTAAACCCCAAACCCTTTAAACCCTATACCCTCAGATTTTTCTTCTGACTCCACACACACCCACACCCACACCCACACGCACACGCACACGCACACGCACACGGACACGCACACGGACACGCGAATATGAGGGTCTCCGAAAATACGGGTACCATTTTGGGGGGGTCCAATAAGGGGGGTACAGAAGGGTTACCCCGAAAAGGGGGAAATACCCATATTGGTCATAATACACACCCTACCTTGTATATATAGAGACATGAAGCGTTCTTCCTCCTTGGCTTGGGGTGGTGGGGAGGGCGGGAGGCATTCCAGCCGCGCTTCGTGTAGAAGCGGTCCGCGACCTCGTGCCTAGGGAGCTTCTGACGAAGCCAGGGACCCTAAACCCTAAACCCCAAAGCCGAAACCCTAAACCCCAAAAACGACCTTGACTTAAAACCCTATACAAAACTGGTAGGATCCAGCCTTCACAGACCCTAAACCCCTAGATTTCGAGTTTCTGGGGCTTTTGAGGATTCCAACCCTACACCCCAAACTGTGGGGCCCAAACCCTTCCTGGTTGCCAAGTAAGCAAATTTTCACAAGGGCTCCCTTTTTGGGGTTGGTTACTTTGTCAGGGAAACCCTAAGCCCTAAGCCCTAAGACTTAAACCCTAAACCCTAGAAAAGAGAAAAGGGTACCACTGGGCCACCAAGTGCTGGAGTCGGACATCATCTTGGTGCTTCGCGCCCTGCAGGCCGCTCTGCTGCAGAAGGCTCGCCAGGAAGGCTCCGGCGTCCTTGTTGCCTGTTGTGAGGTAGGGTTTAGGGTTTAGGGTTTCGGGTCGGTTTAGGGTTTAGGGTTTAGGGTTTAGGGTTTAGGGTTTAGGGCTTAGGGCTTAGGGCTTGGGGATATGAACCTGAAGCGAGGCTACAAGGTTTCGGGGTTCGGGGCCCTGATTTAGAGCAACTGCCCGATCAACGAGTCTTTCGGCAATGCAGGCGTGGACATATGAAGGTACCGCTCGATGCGGCAGTCCAGGTGACTGCTCGCCTTCCAGGACGGGCCTGCCTTGCTATACTCAGTATAGTTAAGGGACTTATAACGCAGGTTAGCATCCTTGCAACCCAATTTAGGGTACTTCTAGCTCTACTTATGGCTAGGGGGGTCCCCTCCTTGTAGACCCCTAGTTTTGTTTCCTTGTTTGGGATCCTGCTTTTCCTTTGTCATGTGTTGTATTATATACCAACCATAAAACTACACTACAGTTCCAGGGCGGGGTGTAGTGCCACCAGTTGAGTGTCTATGCAGGAACCGTGATCTACACCTCCCTGCGAAATTCAGCCGAAAAATCGCACACACCTGACACCAGCGCTCAAAGACTCGTTCGAGTCGGAGCAGCTGGATCTTTGGTTGAGGGTGCCGGAGTTGGCCCCCCGCTAGGATCTTGGGACATCTCAATAGCAGGTAGGCGACGCCACAGACCCAGGGTAACGGCACCCATCACAATCAGCTGCGCAAAGTTCGCAGGCACCCAGTTCCCGAAGTTCTCGGACGAAAGTTGGTGAAGAGCTAGCTCGCACGACAAGTAGGCCCCGAAAAGAAGCAACCCTACCTTGAGCGTGGTCCCTAACATCGTCAACTCTTGTGCTAGCTAGAGCAAGAGCTAGTTTTTTTGCACAGCAGACCCCGAAAATGTGTGCCAACGACGACACAGCTGCGGCCACGAGCGCAGCAGAAAGCAGCCACTGCGCCCACTTGCCATGTCCAAAGTTGCGGACTCTGTAAGCCAGGCGAAGCAGAATCAGAGCAATACTGGGAACCAGGCAGAAGAGATAAGTTGCAGATGTAAGCGTCACCTCCAGCACTACTGTGGGACGGCTCAGATGTCCGAGCATGTCCAATATGGCAAATGCAACTGGGCTTGCCGCCTGCACGATGCGCCAGTATGAGAACGCCTGATTTGCTAGCTGGTAGACCAAAGCTTTCAAAAGCTGGCTCCGAACGTGAGACTCGAACTTTGCTACAGACCCGAACCAAGCAGAAATACACCGAAGGATGATGACGCGGTCGCACATGATTGCGCTTCCGTCGACATGCACGTGGCCACGGTCGCAGCAAGAACACGAGCATTGTTGGACAGTGAAATGACGGACTTGATATTGAACCACATCAATGCTTCGGCCGTGCTGAATCACGACACGGGCAAGAAGCAGCAGGCACGGGAACGCCATAGCGCATATGAAGATTCCACCCCACGGATACATCGGCAGGCCCGTGCACAACAATGTAAGCAGGAGCACACTGAGACCCATGTGGCCCACAACAAAGGCGGGGCCAGTGAACACCGGGCAAACCCGCAGCGACCTGTCTGCGCCATGCCCTTTGCTGTGTATGAAACCTGCCATCTCCTTATTGCGACTGCAATGCCAAATTCGGGACCCTGGAATTAGGAAGACTTGCGAGTCTCCGTTTCTTACGGCAGTAGTACATCGTACAGTACAGAACGAATCGACTACGATAAAGATGTCTATAGTTTCAGATGCTGCTGTCTTTAATAATTACAAACGCAACACCTTTCCAGAAAGCGCGGGGTATCGAACACACACCAAAATCTCGTGATCCATGTCTCATCCCACAGGATGAGAAGCGACTGTGAGCCTTTGAGCAAAGGGTTGCGGGGTTTAGGGCTAGGGTTTCGACTTGGGGTATGTGCTGCACTAGAAATTTCGGTGGTGCATAAAATCGGCCAAAAGTCGATAGCCAAGCGCGCTGCCGCGTAAGCAATCAATTCCCTCCCTCCCTACTAAGAACCAGCAAGTTCTCTTGCCGTGAGGTTTTGTTTGCTATTGCAACTGTTGATACTATTGATGATACTGTTGCGTTGATACAGTAGAATATCACAAGAATATTTATTCCAAAACATATGTTAATTGTACCCCACATGCTTGAAAAAGAATCCCATTTGTACCAAGACAACAAGTCGGGAGTCCCGCAAGCCACAAAACCCAAGTACAAAATTCTGCTTTTGGTCGCGAAAGAAGCGTCTCAGAAATGCACCCATGCCTAGGATCGAGTCCAGGAAAAAACTGGCTTAGGACATGAGAAGTTTAGGACCTAAGCCCTGAACCTAGCCCTACGTGGAATGCGCTGGCCTTTGCCCCTCGATGCGCAAAATATCTCGAAGCTTCAAGTCCCAAAAGCGCAATGAGGATACGCCTCGACATCTTGAACTCTATGAACCCTAAACCCCAAACCCTAAACCCTAAACCCCTTCAAGGAAAAAGCAAGGGCACTAACCAGGCCGGCAGTTTTCAGCACTTCGTCCGTCTGGCTGATGCAGGCGAGATCAAGGAAAGCCAGCCTCCTCGGGTTCATACGTTTAGGGTTTAGGGTTTAGGGCTTAGGGTTTAGGGCTTAGGGTTTAGGGTTTTAGGGATGTTATCGTGATTTTGGGATGTTTCGGTCACGTGAACACATGTCCTTGACCACTCGCGAGCATTCATTGGTTCAATTTCTCAACGAATCTATGAATGTCACTTAACTGCTCACGACAAGTGCCGTGTTGGTGCCGTGCGTTGACCTTTTCAAAATGACACCACTGACTCATCAAGTGTGCTGGCTACAGCCCCCCAGCTCCAGAAAGATCGGAAGAGTACCCGCTAAGATCAGCACAAAGCCATGTGCCCATAGATCACAGAGTTTTTCAATAAGTCAGTTGCCCCATGCTTCGGAGTTTCTTGAATTGCTTGATCGCGTTGGTCCAGCAGCTTCTAAAGACAGGCATCAACGCACTCAAACCTTTACCTTCACGAGAGCGCGCTGCTGTCTGAAAGTACAAAACAGTATCATCGTTATTGGACCCTCCCTGGGTGCAAACTGGCGTCCTGCTCTGCCATAGAAAAAGGGTCACGTAGTAGCCGAGGGTGCTGGCTATGGTGCAGCTTGCATTTGCTGGCCCAGCAGCGTGATGTATCGGCAAGAAGCCTGCCAAACCTAAGGAGAAAGCTCCCAGGCCACAAAGAGAGCCAGCCACAAACGCCGGAAAGCCATTGTTCAGGGAGAGAATGTTGACATACTTGAGCCAGGACATGGTGCACCAGCTATGAGACCAGAACTCATCCAGATGCTCATCCGCCACCTCGCCTAGGTTGGCGACTTTAAGGGTTTGCAGCAATTGAACACTGAACCACAGCTACCTCAAGGGCCTACCCAGTTGCTGAGGCCATAGAACATCTTCCGCTCTCCGGCCAACCACTTGCACGGCATGCACTGCAACACTCGAAAAATGGGGATCCCTCGCACAATGTCGGGGCTGACGGCTTTCCTTACTGGCTGACTTGTCTCAGGGTTGAGGATTCAGTAGAAAGGGGAAACCTTGGTACGGGGATGGTACACAAAGCTAGGATGGCCCTTGGAAGCCTCTGACAAATATTCCGAAATATGATCCTCTTACACCCAGCAAGGGAAAATATCAAAAGTCCCGAGAGGGCCTACCCAGAAAAAGCTTAAACCTTTCCAGCTCAACACTTCAGTTCTCTACTGCGGAGTCGATCCTACACCCTCAACCATAAACCCTAAACCCTACACCCTAAACCCTATTCGCACTCCAAAACCCAGAGTTTCATCTGCTCAATGAAGCCTTCGACGAACTGCAGCTCCAGGGAGTCCTCCGGCCACTCGGCGAGGTCACAAGGAGCTCCCACCACCAACTCCAAGCCGCTCCCGGCCATGGCGCAAAAAAATTTAGTGTTTAGGGCTAGGGTGTAGGGATTAGGGTTTAGGGTTTAGGGTATAGGGTTTAGGGTTTAGGGTTTAGGGTTTAGGGTTTAGGGTTTAGGGTTTATTTAGGGTTTAGGGCTAAGGTGTAAGAGGCACCGGTCTTCCCAAAGGGTCCTAAGTATCTGTATAAGGGGGACACCTACCCAAACCATAGTAGTAATTCAAATTATAGAAGCCCTGCTTTCTACTGTGTAGGCACTTGGGACCCTTTGGGTTCTAAGTGTTCAACACAGTGCACATCGTTAATCTTAAAATGCTGCCTAAAATGCAGCAGTGGGTGAAACAGGTCAACCTCTGCTCCGTTTCATGGAGGTGCATCGGCTGCTGAGGCATCGAAGGTTTAGGGTTTAGGGATTCGGGTTTAGGGATTCGGGTTTAGGGTTTAGGGATTCGGGTTTAGGGTTCAGGGATTCGGGATTAGGGTTTAGGGCGTTTTGAGCCCTTCATGGTTTCACAAGCAGGCTTGAGTCAACACGACGTTGGGAGGAGGCAGGCCGACACATGTGGCCTCAGGCTTTTCGGGTTTTAGGGTTACAGGGCTTCAAGCCTTTTTCGGGTTTCAGGCTCCTCAAGGCCCATTCCACATCTAGACAGACGTAGCTCGACTCTGGCCACGGAAGCGAAACATCGTGCTTAAGGGTCCATGTACCTGATTATTTTGTACTTGGGCCCCAAAGACCCTTTTTAGGAAGCACTTTAAGGCCCAAGTATTCCCTATTCCGGTACATGGACCCTTAGGGAAGGCTTTAACACGCAACCGAGAACCGGCCCAGAAAACCCAAACGTTGAAACCCTAAACCGGATGATGCATCCGTGCGGCACGTTACTGACTGACGGCCTCCTCCCAAAGGCAGTGGGTTTCAGGTTCAGGGGCTTAGGTTGTTGTAGCATCTTATGTTGGAAGGTTTAGCTTGAGGCGTTATCATCTCAACTCCCGTCGTCCCATTCAGGGCCTTGCGGATCGTAACTCCCACGAGCTTCAGAAAGTTGAGCACTGCGGGCCTCCGTTCGGCCCAGGAGTGACGAAACCGGAAGCAGCCGAGAACAATGATAGCAGTGTACTTCGTAAGTGTCAGCGATTGATTGGCGAAATCTGTGAGTCAGTGTACGTACTCGTCCGGACGTGTCGTTTTCGACACCCAAACTTGCGCAGTGGATGAATCGTGACCCGTCCAAGACCTTATCAACTAGGGTTGCATGTGTTTGCTTACCTGGTTGATTCTCTTGACGGCAGTGGAAGTGCAGTGTCGTGGAAGAAGATAGAGTGCAGAGTGGTTTAAACAGACCCTTTCGACAGAAGACAGAAAGAAGTGTATAGGAACTTGTACAGCAAGCTGTTAAGATGCTTTTCTGTCGGTCGTTCGCTCGTGGAAATCCCCCTTCCCGGACGGTTACATTTTCAAAAAAACTGTGCCCTATGGGAACCCCTTGAAGGAAGCGTATGTCTATATATTATATATTATATGGGAAGATGGACCCAGGAATTTGTAGAGTCTGGTCAAGTCTAAGGCTTGTGCTTAGACTTTTGTATGGTTTAGATAGGTGTAGGACTCTTAATGTTTTTCATTCAGGGCGCAAGGCTTCTAGGGTTTAGGCTTTTGGAAAAATAGTGTCTCGTCAACTTCCTCATTCCCTTGGAAATCTCCACTGCAGGCAGCTGAATCACTGAAGAATGCATGCGGCCAGCCAGTACAGCTTCAACTACGGTAGGAGACTGAACCCGAAGCATTCTAAACCCGAAACCTCTCCAGTAAACGTTAAACCGAAGCCCACAATATCAGTAGGAGTTTAGGGAATATGCATCGAGAAGCTCTGTCACTGTTGCCAAGGTTTCTTTGCACCAACCCTCAACACCCTAAATGGACCCTCAGCCTTTTTGCACTCTGGGGGTGTTGCTGTCGCCGCTGTCGAGGATGGTCCACTCCCATCCCTGGTCCGAGGATAATTTTCAAGATGCTTTTTGGTGCTGCAGGGCTTTGTTGGGATTCACCATGTACGGATTGGGGCTTCGCGTAGCTACTTGAAGGTACACATGCATGTGTGCTTTTTCTCCTGCGCGCAAGCCGCACAAGCTATAAGGGTACTCTCTGCATGCTATCGATTCGACGCGCAGGCAGGTAAAGCAGGATTTCGGCTTTAGGGTGATGGGCTTTAGCAATAACATAATCACAATAATAAAAGGCTGGGAGGGCGTACTGTAGTACTGGACTTTAAGGGACCAGGTCTTCAGACCTCTGTAGTATCAGGTTGAAGGGCTCTGGAGCTTTTGACATTGGCAACACGATCGCACTGAGGATTTGGGCATGCTGACCATTAGGGTTTTAAGGTCACTGACGGGGTTAGGGGCCGAACGGGGGTAAAGGCGTACATCACATTTAAAATAATAGTAAGCGGATTGAGTCGTGCACCTGTTGGTGCACGATGATGCACAAGAAGAGCCCTCAAAGCTCTAACCGGTGAAGATTTCACATGGTCGATCTAGGGATTTGGCGACTTCACCCGAGACCATGGTCGCCGACCAGCAAGTGCCTTACTGCACAGCCTGAAGGCGGACCTTGATGTCCTCAGGTTGCAGGAATATGAGACCCGTCATGGTGGAGGTAAAGTTCTTGTCGCCTTCGAGGGTGCTCTCGTGTGGTAGGACCTTGTACTGCGTGAGGAGTTTCATCAACAGAGATTTCTGCTCCATCAAGGAGAACTTGTCACCAAGGCAGCGACGAGGCCCTGCCGAGAAAGGGAGGTTGTGGAACACCCGGGGCTGCTTTTCCTTGAGGAATCGCTCCGGGTTGAAGTCCTCGGCTTCCCCCCAAACATCTGGATGCTTGTTGATGGCTCCGATGTGCAGCGAAATTCCTGTGCCCTTCGGAAGGAGAACGCCGTCGAGCTCGGTGTCGTGGGCCGCCTGTCGAGTGTAGAGATTGTAGATGGGCGGGCGCACACGGAGGCCTTCGTTGATGACAGCAGACAGGTACGGCACGTTGTCCAGATCCTCGGCAGTCGGATCTTTCCGGCCGGCCAGAACTTGTTGAACCTCTTCGCGAGCTTTCTGCTGGACCTCAGGATACTTTGCGAGGTAGTACATCTGCCAAGCCAAAGAGATCGCAGTGGTATCGTGCCCGGCAATGAAAAAGATCCAAAGCATCGGCAGCAAGGCTCCCTCCGTCGGCAGCACTCCATCTGTGGGCACATCCACACCCGGTCCGAGCAACATGTCAAGCATGTCCTGCGGCTCGTCCGAAAGAGTGCCCGCTGCCTGCTGGTCCCTACGCAGCTGCACGCGAGCATCTATCGCACCTTGCAGGACGCCATGCATGTGATGCACCGCCTCCCTCATGCGACGATTGCGGGAGTTTGGGAGGCGCTCCATGAAAGGGAAAGTCAAGTACAGGGGGTTGGTCTGCTCAAGCATGATGTATTTGTAGTGCTCGTAGCTTTCGGAAAAGGTGCCGTCAATGGCACCGAAGCTCTGGCCCAGCATCGCCGATCCAAGCACGTCCAAAGCGAAACGGGACATGTCCTGCTTGGCATCCACCTCGTCTGCACCCCTCCACGTCTCCAGAAGCCTGTCGGAGCAATCGTTGAACTTGGGCAGGAGGTTCCGCAAGGCCTGCTTCTCGAAGGCCGGATCGACAGGCTTTCTCTGTGCGGCCCAGTCTTGCCCGTTCGTCATGAGAACGCTTGCGGTTCCGTCCTTGCTGCGCTGGAGCAGAGTGTCGAGCGCACTGGCCGTGTTCCGCGGGACCTCCATCTTGATGAAGTCCTTGGGACGCGTCAGCACGGCTCTCGCTAGCTCCGGATGAGTCACCACACAAGCGGTCTGGGGCCCAATGTGCATCCGGAACATCCGCGGGTGCTCACTGCCCTTCTGCATGAGCGCTGCACAAAGCTTACTCCGGGCGGCCCAGAAGACGAAAGTCTTGCCAAGGCTGGGCACCGAGTCAAATGCACGGAGTGCAGCGCTGGTGGCAGCCATGGCGCAAGCGCGGAAGAGGGGCGGGGCCGGAAGAGGAGAAGCCTTCAACGTGCTGAATAGCTTGAGCCAAAATGGCCGTAGCGGTTTGGGGCTTCAGGGTTCTGGAGTTGGGCGCTAAGGCAAGATCTCCCACCGCAGAATGCAGTGCAAGATTGGGTTGCAAGTTTTGAACACATGCAAGGCTTGAAAGCTTATGCTTCTGTGCATTAGGATTTGCTCTGAAGCTTTTACAGGGAAGGTGCACAACAAGTTCTGCCAGGGCACAGCGAGATGCAAACGCACTCTGCATCACTCTCCGCATAAAAGACTGGACTCGGTCTGCACGACAGGCCAACTGAGGTCCTGGCGGCTGTGACACCTTGGCGCAGGAGCTTGCACCTTCTCTCTACCTCTCCCTGTCTCTCTCTCTCTCTCTCTCTCTTTCTGTCCCTCTCTCTCTCTTTCTCTGTGGAATGGGCCTTTTAAGGTTCAGGGCGACAGCTTGTAATCAAATTACATTAGCAAGAGGAGGACTGCGACAACACAGCTCGTGCAGTGCATGCAAGGGGAAGCAAAGGAAGGCTGTTACAAACGGCATGACTAGTTTCAACGTGCTTCTTCATGGACATTCCGGTGCAGAACAGCCAAGTCGGTTGAGAAGTCAGTCAAGCGCTAGCGCCACGGTCATTCTCATAGTAACCATACGGGAATCGCCACCATCGTCATCAGCACCACACAAGCCACCCAAGCCGCAAAAAGTACATGAAACGTAAGAGCGGTCCCTGCCAACGTCACGTCCAGCCATCACCGTCAGTATCATTTCCTTTTTGCAGTTGCCCTCAACATCGTCATGATCATCATCAAGATCGCCATCGCCACTTGCCATCATCGGCATCATCATGGGCATCATCACCATCATCATCATCACCATCATCATCACCACCAACATCCTCATCGTCGCCGTCGTCGTCATCACCATATTCATGTCTACACATGCTT